TGGAATGGACAAAACAAAAGGGAAACCCAGAAGTCTGCTTGTCTTGCTCTCTGGCCCAAAGGGAAGTCCTTGCCCACCCTCCACTGGCCATCACCGAGTCAGCCATTAACTAACTGGTGGCCTTGTGGCTTTGATTTTCGTCATCTCTAGAATATGATGAAATGTGTGTCCTTCTGCATCCTGGTTTCTAAAGGGAAACAGGGCCCATGTGTGGGAATGCTGGTAGCCTCTTGGGAAGGCACCCTCACTCTTTGTTTTGGTAGCTGTTCACCTCCTTGCCATCCAGATCACCTGGGCACCTGTAAGTAGGGCAGAGTCTGGATCCCTTGGACAGAGAGGAGGCAAACCATTTGAGCTTCAGTTCCCCTCGACTGGTGAGAGGAAGAAGGGGACAGGGGCATGAATTTGTTTTAGCCATCATGTTTGAGGATGGCCCACTGAGGCTCTGAGGCTGTGGCATCCTGGAGTGTGCCACATTGCTGGGGCTCTAGGCAGAAATCATGGCCTCTGGTAGGCCCTCTAAGTGTGGCCACAGAAGGACGTTCTGATCTGGGAGGCCTTTGCATGTGGTTCATTGTGTGTGAACAGCCACTCTTTGTGACCAGAGATGACATCACTGACCATGGGTCACCATCCTTGTGCAGCGGAGGGGAGGCACCTGGTGTGCACAGGGCTGAGACATGGTGAGCTTGGAGTCAGCAGTTTTGAGCCCAGCTATACCATCAACACCTTGGTGACTTCCGAGTGCAGTTTCCCACATGGAAAGTGGGGACAGGGCCTGGCCAGAGTGGCTCAGTTGGTTGAGCATCATTCTGTGTCCTGCGCACCAAAAGGTTGCTAGTTCGATTCCTGGTCAGGGCTCATGCCTGGGTTGTGGGTTTGATCCCTGGTTGGCAAGTGAACAGAAGGCAACTGATAGATGTTTCTCTCTAACACCAATGTTTCTCTCTCTTTCTCCCCCCCCCCCCCTTTCTTTCAGATGAGGATTAAAAGAAAAAAAAATGAAGAGAGAGAGAGAGGGAGAGAGGGGCTCTGTCCCCCCTTGATGGATTCTGTGGGAAGGCCGGGCTAGGGCACTGCCTCAGGGGCATAGAGGAGGAGCTGGTGATGTGGTGGTGTCTTCTGTTCTCTTTTCACCTTTATGTCTTCCTTCTGTTTCTCTTCTCAGTCGCCTTTTTCTTTTTAAAGATGTTTTTATTGATTTCAGGGAGGAAGGGAAAGGGAGAGAGAGATAGAAACATTAATGATGAGAGAGAATCATGGATTGGCTGCCTCCTGCACGCCCCCTACTGGGGATCGAGCTCGCAACCCAGGCATGTGCCCTGACTGGGAATCGAACCGTGACCTCCTGGTTCATAGGTCAGTGCTCAACCACTGAGCCACACCGGCTGGTCTGCCTTTTCTAATTTCCCTTTTTCCCTCTTCATAGCTGAGCTTGCTCCTTTTGGTCCAAAAGTTTGTACACACACATAGACACACAATATGCATACAACACACACACCATACACACATAGATACAGACATGCACCCGCAAGCACAACACATATATCTATATACAGATGTATCTATACTATGCACAATACTCTTTTTTTATATATATTTTATTGACTTTTTTTACAGAGGGACAGGGATAGTTAGAAACATCGATGAGAGAGAAACATCGATCAGCTGCCTCCTGCACAACCCCCACTGGGGATGTGCCTGCAACCAGGTACATGCCCTTGACCAGAATCGAACCCGGGACCCTTCAGTCCGCAGGCCGACGCTCCATGCACTGAGTCAAACTGGCCAGGGCAATGCACAATACACATATGCACACACATACATAATGCTTGCACACTTGGGAACTGCTACCAGTACCCTGTGATGCACACATTTGTCCTCTAAACGTTCCTTTTTAAAAAATGTGAGCATTTGAAAAACATATAGAGAAGTATAGAATGTCCTTCATCCAGAATTCACAGTTAGCATTTTCCATATTGTTGTCTCCTTCTTTCATACTTCTACCCCGTCTTGGACCTGGCACTTCCTTCCCATGTTTGGTTCATTCTTCTCTGTGTGTTGGTGTTCCAGGTCTGAGCTCTGGGGCTGCTCTATGAAGTTCCAAACTCCTCTGTGTGAGTCGTGTTTGCTTTGGACTGCTGTGTGCTGACAGGCAGAGAGTGGTCCCCTCTTGTTACTGCCGCAGTGTTTGTCCATTTCCCTGTTGAGGAACATGTAGAGTGGCTACAACTTTTTGTGCTTGAAAGTCTTTTATTGGTCACCATATTGTATGTCCCTGCAACCAAAATATGTACATAAATTGAAATGAGAATTTTAAAAGAATTTTTCTTCTGGTTTGAGTGGGCATTATAAATACCCAATTGATCAAAACAACACAAATATAACAGTTTTTATAATAAGAAACATAAATATTAAAAAGTATTAGACATGTATCTCTTAAGTGGATAGGTTACTTTTCCCCCAGTTAACTCGTAGTCACAGTTGAATATACGTAACCTGCTGCTGGAATGAGACAGGTCAGTGTCAGTTCTAGTTCTGTTTTTCATTTTAAGTTGAGAAACCGTGTTCACATAAATCAGTAGATGGGAGTCAACAGGGGTTTGATAGAACAGTAGCATCTAATTCCACATTATTTGCTGACAAATTCAAAGATCACATAAAGATCTAATACCAAAAAATTGTTGCTGATTTATAAGGTAACGACTTGATCAAGTTCTCTCCGGTTCCTAATAACAGCTTTATTGAGATAAGATTCACATACCCTTTTAAATGTACAGTTCATTGGTTTTTCCAGAACATGGTTCCAGTTTTGTGATATTACAACCACTGTTGTAACACATATCCTTGTCCCATGTCTTCAATCTTTTTAAAAATAATTTTTCCTGCTTTAAAGGTTAATTATAGAAAATGTATAAAATGCAGGTAAAGTAAAAAAAAGTAAAACTTATCCATTGCCTCTTAATCCAGAGGTTTTATTTTATAGCATTTATATTTCTGAAGTTATTAAAACTTAAAACTGCACTAAGATGTGGAGGCCGCCTGTGTACAGTATATCAGGTTGTGAAAAGTGCTCTGGAGAAGAATAAAGCAGAGGAGGGGAATGGGAGAGGCTGGTCAACAAGCAAGGAGAAGAGGTGGAGATAGTAAATTTTAAAAGGAATGATCAGAAAAGGCCCTGCTGAGAAGGAAACGAGGTAAAGGATCAGGCAGAGCTCTTGGAGAAGAACTTCATAAGCAGAGGAAACAGCAAGTGCAAGGGCCCTGGGGTATAAATGGGCTTGGGAGGGTCTGCATTATGAAGACTTTGCAGTCCACGGAGAGGAGTTTGGGACTTACTCTGATGTGATTAGGAGGTCAAGTTTCTGAGCAGAGGGATGTGGGAAATAAACTTTGGGGCTAGTGAGAGTGGAGAGACTGGTGGAGTGGATTACAATAATCCAGACAGGAAATGCTGGTGGCTTTGACTAGGGTGGCGGCCATTGAAATATGTTAGAATTGGGAGCCCAGAGTGGAGAAAGGAGGGAAGCCCATTGTGTTAGTTATGTCTTACCGAGTAACAAATGAACAGTTTAGCTGTTTATAACAATAAATGCTTATTATCTCACAGTTTCTCTGGGTCTGGAATTTGGAGTGGCATAGCTGGTTTGGACTCGGGGTCTTCCATGAGGTTGCCGTCAAACTGTCTGCTGAGCTACAGGATCTGCTTCCTGGGTGGCTGTCACGCAGGGCTGGCAAGTTGCCGGCAGGTGGCTAGCAGTCCCGGCTCCTCACCAGGTGGACCTGTCCATAGGGCTGGTTGAATGTCCTCACAACATGGAGGGGAAGCTGGCTTCTCCCAGAGCCTTGGAAGTCCCCCTCCATCTTTCCCACGTTATCTTGCTTGTTACACAGGTCAGCCCTATTCAGTATGGGAAGAGTCTGTCCAGGAGGTAAGAGCCATGGCCTTCTTGGAGGAAGCCTACTTCACCCATTTTCTGCCGATTGAAAGGAAACTCTGGGAACTAGTGGGACATACCTGGTTGGACCTTGAAGGTCCCAGGAGGAGGTTGGAGCAGGAAATTCAGGGCCAGGGACCTGTCTCCCACCTGGAAGGCCTTGTAGGGACTACCTGGCTTCATGCTGGCTCCGTGTTTGATTCTGCCTTTTCCTGAAACTCCCCTCCAGATGAGCTCCAGTCTCAGGACTCATGGGGGGAGTCAGATATGAATGAAATAACTTAGACTCAGAGCTTGGATTTGGGGTTGTAGGAGCCTACTTAATCTGGGGTCAGGGAACAAGTATTAGTCTGCTGGGGCTGTCATAACAAAGCACCACAAACCGGGTGGCTTAAAAAAGCCGAATTTATTCTTACAGTTATGGCGGCCAGAAGTCCAAAATGAAGGCATTGACAGGGCTGGTTCCTTCTGAAGGCTCTCGGGGAGGATCTTCCTTCTTCCAGATTCCGGTGGTTCTGGGCATTCCTTGGCTTGTGACTACGCCACTCCAATCTCCAGTCTCCGCCTCCGTCTTCCTACTTTCTCCTTCCCTCTGTGTGTGTGTCTGTGTCCAAGTCTCCCTCTTTCTCTTAGGAAGACTGTCACTGGATTTAGGGCCCCCATCTAGTCTGACCTTTTTTTAACTGGTTTACATTTGCAAAGACCCTGTTTTTGAATGTCACATGCACAGGCACTAGGGGTCTGGACTGAAACCTATTCCTGTGAGGAACACAACTCAACCTGCTGGAGAAGGAAGCGGTGTTGGTGTTGGGTACTGGATGAGTCCCTAAGCTGGGAGGAGAGTTCCTGGAGGGGGAAGGGTGTTGGGTAGACGCAGAGGTGGAGCAGGCTGGGTGGGAGATCTGAGTCCTGTGTCTGGAGCCAGAGTGGGAAGGACAGCCCGTGATGGCTTCTCTCCGAATGGAGCTTTTCTCAGGGCTGAGCCCCTTCAGCCATCAGATGCTCTCACTGGATTGTGTTGAGCCTTAACCTAAAGTTGTTTTTGTTTTTGTTTTAAACCAGGAAACTACTTTGCTACACACTTTTTCATGGGAGGTGAGAAGTTTGACACCCCCCACCCTGAAGGTTACCTCTTTGGAGAAAACATGGATCTGAACTTCCTGGGCAATCGCCCGGTCCAGGTGGGTCTCGGCAGGGCTGGGCATGTGGGTGGTGGAGCGAGGTCTCTGCCTTCAGCCATCTGTGTCCAAGCTGCAAGGATGGGTGGGTACTAAGTCATCTCAAACTGGGCAGAGCTGCCAACTGGTTGTGTGCACATGACGTGTGCAGGGGGCGTGTCCTGGCGATACTCCCTTAGAGGCAGGGGACCAAGGGTGAGACACTAGGGACAGAGCAGCTGCTGTGGAGTCTGGTGCATCCCTGCTGTGAGGTTATGAACGTTAGGGTTTTGATCCCTTGAATGACTTTATTTGAAAAGAAAAAAGAACAGTGGAACAGAGGGCAAAAGATATGATCCAAAGGAGAAATGTAAAAGGCTGGTGAATAATTTTTACAAGTTCTCCTTCACCAGTCACAAGAGAAGCGCATGTTTGCTCATTGTGTTCCATTTGTCCAGTGTGTCCCTGGGATCCTGCCAGGGGCTGGGGACAGAGGACAGATCTTGCCCCATTCCCTGGGGGCGCGGGGGGGAATGCAGGCAATAAAGAAGAAAGCAGTTGCCTTGCCCGGTTTGGGTCAGTAGATGGAGTGTTGGCCTGTGGACTGAAGGGTCCCAGGTTCAGTTCCGATCAAGGGCACCTACCTTGGTTGCAGGCTCAATCCCTGGCCCTGGTTGGGGGCGTGCGGGAGGCAACCAATCAATGTGTCTCTCTCACATTGATGTTTTTCTCTGTGTGTCTCTTCCCTTCCACTCTCTCTAAAAATCAATGGAAAAATATCCTTGGGTGAGGATTAACAACAACAACAAAAAAAAAGAGAACAGTTGACAAATGAGAGAGGGTGACAGGAGAGGGCTCTTGAGGGGTGGCACTGATTGGGATTCAATCCCCAGTTAAGGGGCCAGGCAGAGGCCTTCTCTCTCAGGAAACACTGGGCTCCATCCCCTGAGGTGGTTGAGTTCTGGGGCCTCCCTGCCCTGGAGGAGACGTAGTTCCTCTGGACCAAGGTTCTCCAGGCTGCTTTGACCTCGGAGCAGCTGCTTGGCGTGAAATCTTGAATGGATCCTTTGATGGATGGGAGGCTAAGGGCTAGGACACAGAATGCTGGCCTCTGCCACCCTCCCAAGCCCACGAGAATGAGAACAGAACCTCACCTTCCACATCTGTGAAGCCTCAGCTTCGACCCAAGGTCTGACTCAACAGGCCTTCTGTAAATTTGTGTGCTGTTTTAACTTTTACTTAAGACCACCATAGATTCACCTGCACTTGTAGGGAAATAACACAGAGATTCCATAGGCCCTTTTCCCGGTTTTTCCTGGTGATGGTGTCGTATAAAACCCCAATGCGCTCTCATAAGCAGGAAACCGATATTGATGCATCCCCATTTTCCACCAGTTTTACAGCAGTGTGTGTGTGTGTGAGTGTGAGTGTGTATGTGCGCGTGTGCATGCATGCGCGTGCGCACATACATGTGCATGTGTCCCTACTGGAATCTTTATTGACCATTGACCTTGAATAGAAAGCCTGGCAATGAGGTCTGAGAGCCCCAACCTCAATCGCTCCCCTGGGATCCCTCAGGCCAGGTCACTTTCATCGAGAGTCCTTAGAATAGGGCACCATGGCCACATGGCCAGAATCCTTCAGGGTGTTCTGGTCCTGACTCTCCTTTGCCAGCCATGTTGCCTGCAGTTTACCTTGATGTGAATGAGAATAAGGTCATCTAGTGGTTGGCATGAGAGCCCCAGAGCGCCATGTGTGTACTTGCATTATCCCTGTTTTCTGTCCTCTGCCATATTGGAGAGTCATTGGGATTGCTTTCGGTTTTTCCCTCCTAGTTTCCTTATGTCACCCCTGCTCCCCATGAGCCAGTGAAGACGCTGAGGAGCCTAGTGAACATCCGAAAAGACTCGCTCCGGCTCGTAAGGTAACCCTTGACCTTGCCACATTCTTTAAACTAGGGGTTCACAACCAAGTGCCCACCCCATGACATTGGACTGTCTGGAGACATTTTTGGTTGTCACAGCTAGAGAGGGTGGTGTTCCTGGTATCTGGTGGGCAGAGACCAGGGAGGCTGTGAACACCCCACAGTGCACAGGATGCCCCCACAGCCAAGAATGGCGCAGTTCTGACTGTCAGGATTGATAAACTGCTTTAAACCTGGAAGACCTGAGGCTTCTGGGGCCATCTCCAACCCAAGAGAACTTGTCTCCCTTTCTGTGACAAGGGAAGGAGAACCTTGCGTTATTGGGCCTTATTGTCCAAGTAGGGAGTGGGCATCCACATTTCCAGAAAGGTGGGATGCAGCCAGGCAGCCAACGCAGGGCCCCCTGGGGTATGCCATAGCGTGCTCTGTGCAGGCTGGCCATGTTCCTGCAGGCATGCCCCTGACCTACTGCCTGTCCCTCTGCCTGCCTGGAAGGTATAAAGATGGTGCCAACAGCCCCACCGAGGACAGCGAGAAGCCCCATGTCCTCTACAGCCTGGAGTTCACCTTCGATGCCGATGCCCGGGTGGCCATCACCATCTACTGCCAGGCGGTGGAGGAGTTTCTCAACGGGATGGCTGTGTGAGTCCCTGTGGTGCATGGTGGGCCCCAGCAGCTCTGCGTCTGTCTGAATTAATATATTTGAACTTTTAGAGGTTCTATTTGAAATAGGGTCCTTTGAACCCCAAAAGTTTGAAATCTGCAACTTCAGCACGACCACAGCTGGCCTGCCACCAATCTGTGGGGCCAGACCCAGATGGGCCGGGCAGAATGCACCCGTCTCCTCCTGTGGGAGAAAGCCATGTGGTGGCCAGACTTGATCTGGGGATGGAGTGGTAGCTGAGAGTTCTGGCTTTACGTCTTTTTGCACACAAGCAGCCCGCAGTGCCAGTTTCTCAGGCCAGACGTGCCAAGGTCCTTGAGAGTATCCTTTGTCCTAGAGACAGAGAGAAGCCCAAGGGACAGCAGGTGAGGGGTGGGGCACAGGGAGGCAGCAAAGGTTGTGTGTTGGATTCTTGAATGGGGAGATGCCTGAGTTTATCAGAATTGAAAACGTGTACTCTTTAACTCAGCCATTCCTTTCCTGGGAATTTATGTTGGGAATATGCTTACATGTGTGGCTAAGGTGTATGCAGAAGAGGGTCCTGGAAGCCTTGGTTGGAAAAGCAAGATATTGGAGACCACCTGGTGCTCACCAATAGGGGCCTGATTGCATCAGTTAGAGTAAATGCAGTGGAACAGATGCAGTGTTCAGAGAACACAGCACCTCCATATAGGGTGGCCATAGGACAGCTCAGGTGCATGAGTATTGAAGGAGCAGCGTGTAGGTGGGCTGCTAGTGGAATGTTAAAGAAGAGACACCCATGCGTGACTAGGCCTCGGCTCTTCCAGAAGTGATGCCTGGGTTGTGGATGGGCAGGGAAGCAGGTGGCTGGGAGCAAACACAAGGGTGTGGGGAATGGGAGGGCCCTTGGCACTGCCAAGGTGGTGGAGTAGTTTCTCTATGGGTGAGACAGTGTACATTTTTGGGCCATGTTTGTTTAAAGAAGTCAACAAACCGTAAAAAGCAAATGGAAAGGCATAGCCGTATCTGGAAAGGTAGCCATGTTATCTGGCAGGTGTGGGCTCTGGAAGACTAGTAACCAGGCTGGACCAGGCAGAGCTGTGGTGAGCAGAATGAGACCTTGGAGGCCCTCGGGGTGTGAGGGCCACGTGGCCACATAGACTGGCTTTCTGCCTCCCAGATAAGGGCTGGGACTTACAGGGTGGGACCTGCAAGGCAGGTTTCTACTAGGTTCCCAAAAGACCAGTGCCTGCCAGTGCCTGCCTCAGGTCCTGGCAGTCTCACCTTCCTTTCTCTCCTTTAGGTACATCCCCAAAAGCCCTGCCCTGCAATCTGAGACTGTCCACTATAAGAGGGGTGTGAGCCAGCAGTTCTCTCTGCCCTCCTTCAAGATCGACTTCTCAGAGTGGAAGGACGATGAGGTAACCTCCTGGCCTCTTGCCGGAATTCCCTCCGCCGTGTGGGGGCAAGCACAGTGGGGCCTGTTTGCTGATTCCTAACATTGATAAGCATCAGGAGTAGCTGTGGACCAAGGTGTGTGTGCTCATTTGGGCATGTGGAGTGCAGTTCAGTCCAAGTGTTGGCTGGAAGGAATGATCGAAGCAAGACAGCCGGCCACAGCAGAGGCTCCAGTACCCAGCTTTGGTGTGGTTGTCGGGCCCACAAGACTGCAGCGTGGCAGGATCCCTTCCACCTAGTGGTTCCACAGCTAGGGACAGTAATTTACAGGATGTGAAGGGTGTTCATTGCAGCTCTGTCTATAATAGTAAAAATTGGAAACAATGTACACGTCCATCACAAAGGGAGTTGTTTAGTTTATTGATGTTATGGGAGCCACCCATATATTTAATGTGGGCACCCTGGCTCATGTCTATTATGGGATGCCATGCAATCTTAAAGCACAGGAGAGATCTGTGTATTCTGTACATACTGATGTGGAAAGCCCGTTCTGGGCTTGGAGAAGACCAAGTTGCAAACAAATGCAGTATAATCTCTTGTATGTGGCATCCACACAAATGCTCAAAACCATTTCTGCAGGTATAATGTATGTGTATATAATTCTTGAGGAAAAACCAGAAAAGATGCTCATCAAGCTGAAGACAGTTATTTTTTTTTTTTTTTTTTTTTTAAATATATTTTATTGATTTTCCACAGAGAGGAAGGGAGAGAGATAGAGAGTTAGAAACATCGATGAGAGAGAAACATCGACCAGCTGCCTCCTGCACATCTCCTACTGGGGATGTGCCCGCAACCCAGGTACATGCCCTTGACCGGAATCGAACCTGGGACCCTTCAGTCCGCAGGCCGACGCTCTATCCACTGAGCCACACCGGTTTCGGCTGAAGACAGTTATTTTTGCAGAGGGTTGTGGTGTAAGGAATACATACATAGACATGTATACCCGGGCCTGTGTCTGTGGGGTCTGCATTCATGGATTTAACACAGATGGAAAATATATTTTTTAAATGTTATGTTGTTGGTAATGTGTGCTATGTAGTAGGCCTACGATGGAATGGTTATGTCTGTACTGAACATGTACAGACTTTTTTTTTCTTGTCATTATTCCCTAAACAATACAGTATAACAACTATTTATATAGCATTTACATTATACTAGGTCCTGTAAGTAATCTAGAGATGATTAAAAGTACAGGGAAGGATGAATGTAGTTTACATGCAAATACTACTCTATTTTATTGAAAGGACTTGAGCACCTGAGAATTTTGGTATCCAAGGGGGGTCCTGGACCCCAGCCCTCACATATACTGAGAACAAACAGACTGTATAGTGTGAGTGCTGACACTGTATACACTTCTGACCTATTTTTGTTTCATTGTTTTTACCAATTAAGGTATAATTTACATACTAAAAAATTCACCCATAGTTTAACTTAGAGATTTTAGTAAATTTATGATCACAGCTATTACCAATCCTGTTTTAGAATCCAGTTTCCATCCTCCTTATAGGATCCCTCATGCCCATTTACAGTTAACCTCTGTTCCTACCGCCAGACCCTGGCAAACACTCATCTACTTTCTGTCTCTTTGGATTTGCCTGTTTTGGAGATTTCATATAAATAGAACCATATACTATTTGACCTTTTGTATCTTTCACTTAGCATCATGTCTTTTGGCTGTTGGCTATTTTGAATAATGGTACTATTTTATATTCAAGTTTTTGTTTTGAATGCATGTTTTCATTTGTCTTGGCTATAATTTACTATTTAATTATTTTAAAATATATTTTATTGATTTCAGAGAGGAAGGGGCAGGGAGGGAGAGATAGAAACATCAGTGATGAGCGAGAATCATTGTTGACTGCTTCCTGCAAACCCCACACTGGGGATCAAGCCTACAACCTGGACATGTACCCTAACCAGGAATTGAACCATGACCTCCTGGTTCGTAGGTCAATGCTCAACTGTGGAGCCATGCCGGCCATGCTGCTTTTTAATTAAAAAATTTTTTTCAGACTTTTTTTAAAGAGTGGGTTTAGGTTCACAGCAAAAGTAAGAGATAAGTTATGGAGATTCCCCTACCTGTCTCCACACATGTATACTTTTTATTTTTTTATTAAATCACTAGAGGCTTGGTGCACAAATTCGTGCATGGGTGGGGTCCAGCCGGCCCACCCCGATCGGGGCCAATTGGGGGCTGGGCCGGCTGAGGAGAGGGGCCGTGGGCGACTGGTGGGCCGGCTCCACTCCCTGGTTGAACTCCCAGTCGAGGGGACAACTTGCATATTAGCCTTTTATTATATAGGATATTGTGACATGTTTCCAGGTCAGAACTCACAGACCACCTCAGAGCTGGAGTGGCTTCTCTGCTGGTTTCCCTACTATCCCCCTTGGGGGGTTCCATTTATTTTAGTCAAAGCCACGTCCCTTTCTTCTTCTGCTCTTTGCCTTTTTCCTATTTCCTGGTGTCTGTCTGACCTGGGGTTTGCAAAGACCCTGTCTGGTGGGGAGGATCTCTGTACCTGAAGAGCCCGAGGGTGCCAGAGTGCCAGGCCCCCGCCAGGGCCATGTAGGGAAAGAACAAAGAGTGAGCCAGGAAGCCTGTCAGTGACTCATGCTAGCATCAGCTGCCTGGTTCTTCCTCCTGATTTAGGGGGTTGCTTTTCCCTAAGAAAGCTGCTCTCCTTGCAGTAAAAATAAACATCTCCCTCAGCTTCTCTGTGGTGGGTGGAAGCCTCTATCCTTTTCCAGCATGCTTAGCTCTGGTGTGTGACTGTGTGGAGCAGGAATTTGGGGGGGAGATGGTTCTTGCTCCCCGGGTCCCCACACTTTTTGGGCCCCTCGCTGTGTGTGTGGAGGCTTATTCTGTCAAGGCACTCCAGGTGCCCAGGGAGATCTGGGGTCACAGTATCCCCCTTGTCTCTTCCCCTGGCCCAGCACTGGGCCGACCAGTGTAGGTTTCTGCTGGAGATTCCTGAATTAGTTGACCAAAGGCCGCATGTAGGGTGCTGCTGTAGGCTCTGTTGACAGCATGTGATCGCCAAGCTGAATGTTAGCAGAGGCACTGGGAGGACTGCTGCAATAGACATCTGTCTATGTCAGAACTTTTTTGGTTGTAACAGACAGAAACACACCTAAGTCTAGCTTAAGAAAAGAAAACCAGGAATTATTGGCTTAGATTCTGAAAAGCTGGATGGTTGTGGTTTGCTCTAGGGCCCATGTCATCAGGGCGGGGTTTGCCCTGCCTGAGCTGGCCTTTATCTCAGGCTGTTCTAGATCAGCAGCTTGGGCCCCAGAATGCTTGGATGGACCCCACCTGAGGCAGGCTTGTGCCATCCTCTGGCCAAGCACAAACCCAGGGTGGGAGAAAGGTCGTTTCCAAAATTCCCCAAGGAAAATTGGGGTGCTGCCATCTGAAAAGCTAGACAGGTCAACAGAAGCTGTCTGCACCTTTTTTATGGGATTTAGACAGATCTGGGGCAGGCTGGATAAGAGCAGAGTCTCAAGGATGAAAATACCAAGGGTGTCCTGGGGCCTATCTCAGGAACTGAGGACACAGGTGGGCAGGCCTGGAGGTGACCCTGGCTCTCATGAAGCACTGGGCAAGATTGTGCTACCTCTGCAAGTGTGGGTTTCCCATCTGGCACCTGGATGTAGGAACATCCTATCTGTAGGGTTGTCCATCCGGGGTTTGTACAAAGTGCTCACTTAGCTCAGGCTGTCCCTCAGGGGTTTGTACACAGTGCTCACTTAGCTCAGGCTGTCCCTCAGGGGTTTGTACACAGTGCTCACTTAGCTCAGGCTGTCCCTCAGGGGTTTGTACACAGTGCTCACTTAGCTCAGGCTGTCCCTCAGGGGTTTGTACACAGTGCTCACTTAGCTCAGGCTGTCCCTCAGGGGTTTGTACACAGTGCTCACTTAGCTCAGGCTGTCCCTCAGGGGTTTGTACACAGTGCTCACTTAGCTCAGGCTGTCCCTCAGGGGTTTGTACACAGTGCTCACTTGGCTCAGGCTCTCTCAGGGGTTTGTACACAGTGCTCACTTAGCTCAGGCTGTCCCTCAGGGGTTTGTACACATGCTCACTTAGCTCAGGCTGTCCCTCAGGGGTTTGTACACAGTGCTCACTTAGCTCAGGCTGTCCCTCAGGGGTTTGTACACAGTGCTCACTTAGCTCAGGCTGTCCCTCAGGGGTTTGTACACAGTGCTCACTTGGCTCAGGCTCTCTCAGGGGTTTGTACACAGTGCTCACTTAGCTCAGGCTGTCCCTCAGGGGTTTGTACACATGCTCACTTAGCTCAGGCTGTCCCTCAGGGGTTTGTACACAGTGCTCACTTAGCTCAGGCTGTCCCTCAGGGGTTTGTACACAGTGCTCACTTAGCTCAGGCTGTCCCTCAGGGGTTTGTACACTTGCTCACTTAGCTCAGGCTGTCCCTCAGGGTTTGTACACAGTGCTCACTTAGCTCAGGCTGTCCCTCAGGAGTTTGTACACAGTGCTCACTTAGCTCAGGCTGTCCCTCAGGGGTTTGTACACAGTGCTCACTTAGCTCAGGCTGTCCCTCAGGGGTTTGTACACATGCTCACTTAGCTCAGGCTGTCCCTCAGGGGTTTGTACACAGTGCTCACTTAGCTCAGGCTGTCCCTCAGGGGTTTGTACACAGTGCTCACTTAGCTCAGGCTGTCCCTCAGGGGTTTGTACACATGCTCACTTAGCTCAGGCTGTCCCTCAGGAGTTTGTACACATGCTCACTTAGCTCAGGCTGTCCCTCAGGGTTTGTACACATGCTCACTTAGCTCAGGCTGTCCCTCAGGGGTTTGTACACAGTGCTCACTTGGCTCAGGCTCTCTCAGGAGTTCGTACACAGTGCTCACTTGGCTTGGACTGTCCATCGTGAGCCCCATCTGCCATAAGGACAGGAGAAGAGAGGGTCCAGAGTCCCTGTCTGCTGGTGGTGTAGCCACCGCACACACCTCTCCAGACCACCGCTATTAGTTCAACAGCAAAACAAGACTCTGCCGTACTGAGGCAGCACTTGGCTTATTGTGCAGGGGAGAAAGATAATGCAAATCACTTGGTGGCTGCTCTAAGGCACCGACATCAGCGCCAAGGATTATATTCCCAAAGCTGGCCGGAAGTACATGGGATGAATTGCACAAAGCTTTGCTCCCGATCTGGCTCTGTCACCTGAACAAACCTCCTTCTGGGCTTAATTACAGCCTTTGAGAGGGCAGCACCTGTGTAATACACTCAGTGTCATCGTCACCAGAGTAACTGGGATGGTCGTTGGCAAGATTGCTCCTGTGTCCTGACTCAGGATGGGGGCAGGAACAAGCTTGCAGAGGGACCCTGTCCCTCAGACATGTGACTCCTGTCTTGGGTGATCCCCTCTCCCAAGAATCATCTCAGAGCAAGAGCGCAGGGCAGACAGGTGGTCCCTCCTCCCATAAGTCCCAGTTTCCTTGGTGCAGCCGTGGGAGCATGAGGCCTGGGTGGGCCCGGACACCTCCCCACATGTAGCTGCCCTGCACACGTCCCCACAAAGTCCTTTGTTCCTGGGGTCCAAGCCCTGTGTCTTTCCGCTTGCCTGCCTTGGCTCCTGCTGCTGAACACATGCAGCTTCGAATGGCTGGTGCTCACTGTGTGCTCTCCCAGGCACCATGCTCAGAGCCTTTGCATTAGACCAGTGGTTCTCAACCTTCCTAATGCCGCGACCCTTTAATACAGTTCATCATGTGGTGACCCCCAACCATAAAATTATTTTTGTTGCTACTTCATAACTGTAATGTTGCTACTGTTATGAATTGTAATGTAAATATCTGATATGCAGGATGTATTTTCATTGTTACAAATTGAACATAATTAAAGCATAGTGATTAATCACAAAAACAATATATATGTGTTTTCCGATGGTCCTAGGCGACCCCTGTGAAAGGGTCGTTCGACCCCCAAAGGGGTCGCTACCCACAGGTTGAGAACCACTGCATTAGACGTAGCTTTTATCCCTCTTTTAGATGGGGAAACAGGCTGGGTTAGGGAGCTATGCTCCAACCTGGCAGTTCTGGGTCTGACCCTGTCCCAGCACCTGGCTCCTTTCCCAGTCCTGCCTCCCACTGACGGCCAGGGACCCACAGGCACCTTCCAGGCCTCTCCTTTGCAGCCCCTGCTGTGGGTGCCCTCAGTAGCTGTCTCTCTCCTGTGGGCTTGGTGTGACCTGCCCCACAGCCCCCACTGGCCAGCGATCTGGAGGCCACGCCCACGTGGACGTGTCGGAAGGAGTGTGGCCGTCAGCCTGAGAGCAGCTGGGACCGCAGGGAGTGAAGCTGGAGAAGGAGAAGTGATGGGAGGGTTCTCCTCGAGTTCAGACCAGCCACGTGGTCTCTTTGCTTTCCTTCCTTCTTGGGTTGGGGCCTCACCAGGCACCTTTCCTAAGGTTGAACACAGTCCCATGTGACCCACCCTTCCACGCCTGGTGTGCCCAGGTGAACTGAAAATGGCTCAAACAGCTGCTCATCCAGCATCGTTCATCTCAGCACTGGCCGTGGCAGCCAGAGGGGGAACAGCCCAAATGTCCGTTAGAGGTGACCAGCCTGGCCACGCAGCAGAGTATTACTCAGCCTTGAGAAGGAAGGAAGAGCTGATGTGCTGTCGCAGAGGTGACCCTAGAAAGCATGCTGAGTGAAAGAAGCCATAACAAAAGACAGATAGATTCCGTTTCTATGAAATGTCCAGAGCAGGCAAGTTCTTACAGAGTAGAGCAGGGGTCCTCAAACTTTTTAAACAGGGGGCCAGTTCACTGTCCCTCAGACCGTTGGAGGGCCGGACTATAGTTAAAAAAAAACTATGAACAAATTCCTATGCACACTGCACATATCTTATTTTGAAGTAAAAAAAACAAAACGGGGCCGAAGCCGGTTTGTCTCAGTGGATAGAACGTCGGCCTGCAGACGGTCCTGGGTTCGATTCCGGTCAAGGGCATGTACCTGGGTTGCGGGCACATCCCCACTAGGAGATGTGCAGGAGGCAGCTGATCGATGTTTCTCTCTCATCGATGTTTCTAACTTTCCCTCTCCCTCTCTGTAAAAAATCAATAAAGTATATTTTTAAAAAACAAACAAAAAAACGGGAACAAATACAATATTTGTATTTGCATGTGGCCCGCGGGCCGTAGTTTGAGGACCCCTGGAGTAGAGTGTGTGTGTGTGTGTATGTGTGTTGTGGGGGCGATGGGAGGAGTAGCTTAATGGGGACAAGAGTTCCTGTTTGGGATGATAAAACGTTCTGGAAATGGATGGTGGTGATGGTTGCAAGACCTTATGAATGTACTTAATGCCATAGAATTGAATACAAACTTGCCATTTTAAACATTTTTATCTGTTTTAACACACGCGAGTGCACGCGCGCACAGCCAGGACTCTGTCCTCGCTGCTGTCTGTCCTCACAAGCTCTGCTGTGATGCCACCCTCCCTGCACCTTCTCCAGTGCAGTCTGACCCATCTTGCTGCCTTTTCTCCTCAGTTGAACTTCGACCTGGACCGGGGAGTGTTTCCAGTGGTCATCCAGGCCGTTGTGGACGAAGGAGACGGTGAGAAGCCTTTTTCTTTTCCTACTCCCTTCCAGCAGGTGGACCTTGTGAGAAGAACCATTTCCTGAGGCCCTCCCCGCTGTCGGCAGGGAGGAATGTATCCAGAAGGGATGAAGGATGGGGAAGCCTTCTTAGCAGGTTTAGAACCAGCTTTCCATCTCCGCTCTGGGGCCCCCTTGGTACTTCTCCGACCTGGGGCTGTGGGGCCTCACTCTAGCTCAGGAATTCCTGGCCAGCTGTCCCCACCCGCAGTGTCAAGGCCCTATGCCAACGCCTCGCTCTCATGGCAGTAACATCAGCTAGACAGCCTCTGATTCTGGTGTCCTCCCTGCAGTGGAATGATGGGAGACCATTAGCAGAGAGCAGCAGAGATCTAGACAGGCCCTCTTCAGGCCATGCTGGGTTCCTAACTGACCCAGCCAGTCCTGCCCAGTCTCCCTTCCACTGCTGTGGGCTTCAGGCCCCCAGCCTGGGGTGTGAATGCTAGAGCTCTGCCAGAGCTCCTCAGCCCTGCCTGAAATGTCCCTTTTGTTCAGAGTGAGACAACAGGTATTAAGAGTGGTCACTTTGGAGGAGGGGAGAGATGTGAACCAGAGGGAGGTCGGGACCCCCAGGCAGAGGAAGGTTCTAGGCTGAGAGCGGGAAAGCACTGCTGCGAGGAAGGAGAAGGAAGATGGGGTGGGGCATGTCAGCTCTCTGAGCGCTTTCTTCTCTCTCTTCTCTCCTGGGCAGTTGTGGAGGTGACTGGCCACGCCCATGTGCTGTTGGCTGCCTTTGAAAAGGTAAGTGCCATCCTGCCCCTTGACCTGGGAGCTGTGGGCAAAGAGGTGGTGTTTTGAGACCAGAAGCCTGAACTTGGGGGTTATGCCAGGCCATGTGGGCTGAGTGCCTGAGGCCCAGGGCAGATGGAAGGTTCCCTAGTCGATCCAGGCTCCCGGGGAGATGATGCATCTCAGGAGGCTGGGCCTTGAAGTCGAGCGTCACCATCAGGCCTGTGCTGTGTGGTGAGGCGTATTCTGGGAAGCCAGTCCGCTACAAGTCCCTATAACTTGCCAGTACCCAGAACGGGATGCCTACTTGGAGGGCTCTGGTCAGACCAGTTTCCCTCTGGGATTTGAGGGGATTGTCCAAGCCACCAGCTCCTAAGGCCGAGGCCTTTCCCACCAGACCCAGGATCTGAGTGTCATCGGAACCTCTCAACATGGACCCTGAACATTCACAGTGGTCCTGCCTCGCCTCCAGAAGGCTGCATCCCCTGGTCCCTTGGGGCTGGGCAGGCCTCCCTCCCCACTGGGGCCTGCCTAACTTTGGGCAGTCGTTCATTGTACTCGCTCATCGGATGTCCAGGAGGGTAGAATGGCCCCTAGTTTGTTGGCCTCAGTATGCAGTAGGTGCTCAGTGAATGCTGGTGGGGCGGGCGAGGGTGCCACCTGCATAGTATGGTCCTAGACCTCTGTGGGTGGTGGAACTGAAAAGAGGGTCCCAGCTAGGGATACCCCACATGTAAAGGGGCCATTTATGTGAGAGGATTCATTTAGTAGTGCCTTTAGTCTGCATTAGATATTTTTGAACTTTGGTGTTTGCCCCTTCTTTCCACAAAGACCCGAGTCCCCAGGCTGCCCCGGTGTTCATGTGTTATGGCTGTGTTTGCGGGTGCAGTTGGTGGCAAGGATGGTCTGCCTCACCACTGTCTCCGCATTAGGACATTGCTGGGTCCAGAGATAGTCCCACTTCCTGTCGCTACTGGTCCTGGGGCTAGGCAGTTCCGTGTCATCCATGCAGCAAACGAGTCCCCCGCTGTGTTGGGACAGGGTCCCTGTTCACTGAGACCTTTAACAGAGGTAGTGGGGTATGTCCTGTGTTCGAAAATGCCGCGCCTGACACCCTACCCCCAGTGCTCTCTGACATTGGTTGGCGCTCCGTATAGTGTTTTTGGCACCAGTCTGTGGCCTATGGGGATGACCATTAAGGACCCCACGAGGAAACCAGGCTCAGTCTACTTGTTTTGGAATTCCCACCACTCCTGGGCATCCTGCTGACCCCCAGCTTCTTCAGCCGGTTGTGTGTCTGCAGCCCTGAGATCCTACGTGCAGAGCCTGGCCCATTCCTGTGATGCGGGTCATTCCAGATGCCCAGAGGTCAATGTAGCCCGGCCTGAGACCTTTCTGGCCCCTTTGCCCAGTGCTTTCGCTGGCCTTCTGAGGCGGTGGCGATGCCAAGTGCCCGAGCAGAGATTGGCCCTCTGCCTCTCCAGTTCTGGGCGCCAGCTGTGCTCCCTAAGCCTGGCTGGAAGCGACAGGAACTATTTACCCATTTGCTTCTCTGGCTGAGGTGGATGGGCCATCGCTGGCAAACATTTCATTCTGTGCTTCTAGTTTAGAGCTCAGTGAGAAACTGCATTATTTTTGGAGTCCAACATACTAGAAACTTCTGTAGGAACCCATCAGCTTTCCCAGAAAATGCATGTGCTAGTCTCAGTTGACTCAGAAGGATAATTGGTGGTGTTGTAAGATCTGATCTCGTACCTTAATTAATCTTGTCGACTCTGAGTAGTATGTCTCCCAGTTACCACTGAACACGTTTGCTCTAGTTTGTTCTCACAGTGTTTAGACCTTTGGGTTTTCCGCAAGATGCTTGGCTTCAGGCCTTCCGCGGTGGGCAGGACCACTTGCCCCAGCACGTGCATGTTCTGGGCTGTGTCTCTGACTAGGTCAAGCCCTTTGAGGGCCAGGACTGGGGTCTAGTTCTTGCCATCTAGGTGCTGCTTCTTGTCCATCATCAGAACTTGGCTGGTGGCTGTAACCTTGAGTGTGCTTGAGAGCTGCGCAGGGAGGGTTTCGCTTTACAGGTCAGGGTGGGACCCAGGAGGTGGTATCTTTAGAAGGTTCTCAGGGTAGCGCCGAGGCCAGGTCAGAGGCCGCATTTGGGTCTTTAGGCTTCACGCGGCCCCTCCTCTCTCCAGCCATGGATGTGGACTGACCAAAGAAGGGTCTTCAGCTGGCTGAGCAGTGCCGAGTTAACCTGTGTTTTCCTCCCTGCAGCATGTGGACGGCAGTTTCTCCGTGAAGCCGTTGAAGCAGAAGCAAATTGTAAGTCTGTCAGAGGAAATATCATGAGCCCTTTTGATTCAAAAGACATGTTTAGACTCCGTGGATTATTTCCCTGCCCACCAAGGTGGCTGTAGGTAGCTGGTGACAGGCCTGTTGACTGGTCTGTCATCGCTGCGGGCTCTGGGTCATCGGGTGCGTGTGTACTGCATACACCACGCACAGCAGCACTGACTGGGGTAGCCTGAGTCTTGTCCAGCATGAACATAAGCTTTCAGTAACTGTTTGCTGAATGAACAAACGGACAGAGGAAGGAAACAGGAAACTCAGACCGAAGCCTCCCCTCTTCCTCCTCCTCACAAATTACGGAAAATACCTCAGTTTCGGGCAAAAATGGATTTAGTTAATATTTGAGAGGAAAGATGGAATATTTTGGAACAAGTGGGAGCTGTAGAGAAGTACAGCTTTTCAGTCAGTAATCCATGGTCCTAACCCAGGATGAAATATTCTGGTGTCCTCCACACAGTGGACATTGAGAGAATGGGGTCCCCTGAACTGTGCCTGTTACTGTTGAGACTGATTTTAACAACGGCCATGGTGGGGCCTGTTTCTAGTCCATAGTTAGGTTATCCTTGTAGGTAGCTGCTCAGGTATATAAGCCACCCAGGAGTGGTGTTGGTTCGTTTTTTAAAAGAGGGGTAAGGGGAAAACTCTGGCAGATCCAGACTTGATGGTTGCAGAAGGGCTGGGGATCCTAGGGATGGTCAGGGCACTTGTCTTGGGAGAGGACTATGGCTCTCAGGAGGCATGCTTGTTTCCATGGAACTATGGGAAACGCAGAAGCTCAGACCGCTTTTAAACGTGGCCAGGGTGAGGCCTGAACCTGGTCATGCTTGTGGGGCTGGTGATGGGTGAGTCCGTAGTGCTTTCTCTCCAGGTTGAGGACAGTAAGTGTGCAGAGGGTATGGTTGCTGGGCCTGTGTGAAGCTTGGCTCCAAGCCCTCTCTGGTGGACAGGACCACCTGGGCCCCAGCCCTACTCCCGTGCTACTAGTTGGGCTGGGCAGGTAGCAGTTTCTCCCTGCCCCTCTCCTGGCATTGGACCCACTCTCTGGGGTTGGGACTGGACAAGAATTCCCAACTGTGCCTGCTTCCAGGACCCAAACCTGGTGTCTGGGAGGTGGTGCTGAGGAGCCCTTGAGTAGGGGCTGGCAAGTGCCCAGATGCCTCTTTGCTCTCCAGGTAGACCGGGTCAGCTACCTGCTGCAGGAGATCTATGGCATTGAGAACAAGAACAACCAGGAGACGAAGGTATGTGCTGTGGTGAGCACGCACCGTGACTCCAGGCTGGCCTCACTCCCCACTTCCCCTTCCTCTTGCAGGGAAGCAGGCTCATGAGAATGACTTGCCTGGGGCCCCCAGCCCCGGCCAGGAAGGACCCCGCAGGTCGATGTAGATGAGCCAGTTCCCTTCCACTCCTTCCCCGGAGGCCCTGGGACCCCAGGTTCCATCATTTTTTCTTAACTTTTTAAAAAGAGTTAACAGTTCAGTTCCATTGTCCTTTTTCTAGAAAATTCAGTGGCTTATTACCATCGTTGGACTGCTGGCTGTGGGGTTCCCTCTTGCCCAATTGGGCTTAGCCAGTGCCGCCTTTGCCTTCCTGTTCTCAGAACCATTGGGTGAGCCTCGCTGCCCGGCCACTGGCTCCTCCCCCGACTGGAGCCCTGTGGCGTGTGGGGAGAGGGCGCCCCATTGGACGGCTGGGACAGGCCTGGTGGCTGGCAGGGCGTGTCTGGCACAGCCAGGAAGTTAGCAGAGACTCAGCCAGTGCCCCTGTCACCTTTTTTAAAGGCACAAATGGAACTGCCGCCTTTTAAAAATCTCCAGATGTCTCACTCACCAGCAGCAACTGGCCAGAAGCAGGACAGGGCACCAGGCCCGGGCCTCAGATGAGCGCTCTCTGCTTGATTCCCATGAGGTCACTGACTTTCAGCAAAGGGCCAGATAGTAAATACTTCCAGTGTGACTGGCCTGCATGTGTCCATTGGATGTTCACACTGCCGTTAGAGCACTGACGCAGCCAGGCACGATGGAAACAGCCGGGTGAGGCCGTGTTTCAATAAAACTTTATTTACAGAAACAGAGCAGGCCATAGCTTGCCGATCCCTGTTTTAGAATGTTGCTGCCTCTTGATCCAGATTTTGTTTTCCAGAAGCTGCCATTACTGGATGAAAATATGTCAAACAAGTTAGACTTGTCTGATTTGTTTGTTTGTTTGTCTTAGCCAAATAAGTGGGTTCCTTCTGGAAGATGTGTTCCTAGTGTTGTGTCTCTTCCACATTTTTTCTTTGGTTTTGGGAATAGAAATAGACCTGAGTTTCTTGATTTGGGGAGTGTGTTAGGCGGGGCTACATATTCTCCTCTGTGCTGTGGGGTGGGCTTGGGCTGGATCTGCGCCTGGTGCCCAGGGAGCGTGACTCTGGGCCAACTACTGAGGCCTCCTACTCTGCAGCGACCTTCCTCCACCCTCGTGGGCTTCCCTTTGCCCCCAGGGGCCGTGGGGGCTGGCTGGTGGGGCAGCCAGGAGCAGGAAGGCCCCTTCCCGGCCCCTTAGCTGGCCCCCGGCCTCCGGCTCTTGGTTCTCAGAAAGCCACTGACCCTCAGCCTTCGTTGTCCCTGCAGCCTTCAGACGAGGAGAACAGTGACAACAGCAATGAGTGCGTGGTGTGCCTGTCAGACCTGCGGGACACGCTGATCCTGCCCTGCCGCCACCTGTGCCTGTGCAACTCCTGTGCCGACACGCTGCGCTACCAGGCCAGCAACTGCCCCATCTGCCGGCTGCGTGAGTGGGGACCCCGCACCAGGGCAGCCGGGCACTGACTGACAGGCATCAGCCTCCCACCTGGTTCGCAGCGAATGGGAGTCTGGTGGTTCATGCAGGTAGTTCACACCCACGGCGATGCTGCGGGCATGTGAAAGGTTCAGATCTCAAAAGTCTGCCTCCAGAAAAACGGGACGTTCAGGACGGCCGGGAAGGGTGCTCCAGGCAGGTGTTGGCAGTGAGGTTAGAACTGGACAGCATTTTTTTCCTTTTTATTGTATTTATTGGGGTGACGCTAGTTAACAGAATTATACAGGTTTCAGGCACAATTCCACAACATATCATCTGTGCACTCTAGTGTGTGTTCATCACCCAAGTCTCCTCTCCTTCCATCACCTGTGTAGACATTGCGCCATCACAAATGTCCACATACACATGTCTGCCTGCCTGTGGTTACTGTAACTTCCAGGAAGAGACTCGCAGTGTCCAGGGCTCGCTGTGTGCTTTTCGCTGGTTGGCAGGTGTAACTTGAAGCCATGTTCACAGTCAGGTGTGGCAGGTCAGAGACTGGCTGCGTCCTGCCTGCCGCCTCTAAAGCTCCACTGAGCTGGGGCAGTGTTGTCCTGGCCTCTGTCTTCCTCGTGTGACTGATCTGCCTAAATTGGAAACGTGGCCTGTCCTGGGATCGCTGTGGTGTGGGTGGTGGTCAGTGTCCCCACAGCTGGGCGGGTCTCAGTGGTGCTGGAACTGGCTGCTCTTTGCCTGACATCAGCCCTTCTCTTCTGCACAGCTTTCCGGGCCCTTTTGCAGATCCGGGCGGTGAGGAAGAAGCCAGGAGCCCTGTCCCCCGTCTCCTTCAGCCCCGTTCTGGCCCAGAGCGTGGACCACGATGAGCACTCTGTAAGTGCCTCTTCCATCCTGCATTGGGGGGCGTAGGGCTGGAGGGAGAGGGGTTTGGAGGAAGCCCTGCCTTTTTCTTAGGCATCCAGACACTTCCAGGGCCTGCCTTCCTGTTAGGACAGTGTCTGGCTTCCAGCGGGGCTGACTTGGTCAGGTGGCTGGAAGGAGGCCACCTGGGCCCAGCCCTTGGAGCAATACCTGGCCAGGACCAAGGCTGTCTGGCCAGCACCTCCACCTCTGGCTCTCTGGGCCTCTGTCCTCATCTGCCCAGCGTGGCTCCACAGGAGCTGGAGCTACCGTGCTTGTCACCGTCATTCCACCAAGTCAGACAGCCAGGGGCACTCCTTGTGTTTGGGAAGTGAGGTCTCCTTCACAGGGTGGCTGTAACATGCCCTTTGTGCCTTCTCTCCCTACCTCTCCAGCCTGGGTACACAGGGCCCCTCAGCAACCGCCCCTGCCCTGGCTCCTGAGAAACGATGAGGTGGACCTACTGCAGGCAGGCAAGGGGTGTTGAGCTCTGGCTTTGGAGAGAGGTGGACAGAGACTCAGTGAGACAGATGTACGGACAGAAACAGGCGAGAGACAGACAGAGACAGAGAAGTAGAGACACAATGCGAGATGTGGACAGACACAGATAGGGCAGGAGATAGATACAGAGGCAGAGAGACAGTAGGAATAAGAGTGAAAGGGAGATACTTACGAGATGGTCAGACAGGGAGAAAGAGGTGGAAAGAGACATGGAGAGAGAGACACACACAGACAGAGGTGGGGATGGGGGTGGAGAGGAGAGGCCGAGGTGGACAGATGGGGAGGAAGGACCAGGGAGCAGGTGCCGGGCAGGTCCGGGTCTCAAGCTCCCAGGTCCCTGCTGTCCACGAGTGTTGTCAATTGTGAGTCTGTTTTCTTGGTTCTCAGCTGAGGGTGTTTGGACCTAGTGATTCCTAGAGGTCCTGCCAACTCCCTAAAAAGAAAAGAGGACTCACACCCTCTGGATTGGCGCACCTAGAAGATGGGCTCCTGCCCTGGGCCAGCAGGTGTTATGTATTCAGCCCATATACTGTTTCTGGAAATTGGGCTAATGTTTAAAAATCTGGAAATTTCCCTTAAAACTCAGACTATGACTTACCTTTCAAAATCTGACTGTGTCATCTTGAAGCTGGAGCAAAGGCAAGGCTGCCCCTGGGGTGAGCCCCATCACCTCCCCTTCTCCTGGGGCAACCACACTGTCTGTTTTGCCTGCTGGGCCCTGTGGACATCAGGGTTTATGACTCAGAGTAGGCCCCCCACTTGTTTGACATTGGACTTGGTTACAGACACTGCACACTTCCCCCAACAATGAGTTTTAGGAGAGGGAATAGCACTTGGGTGTGATTCGCTCCGGGAAGGGAGGACTCTATTTCACAGAGGGGTGGCTGCTCAGGTGATGGGTTTTATTGCCGCTTGCGTGTTACTCTCCCAGGTTCTGTTTGCCCCTCTTGGCCTGGGAGCTGTGATGCCCACAGTGCAGGGCGGGCTGGGGCTTGGATGGTGACCGCCAGTGCCTTCCTCTCCCGAGGGGGTTATTGTCTGCCCTGTTACCTGTCGGAGCCATTTCCACGTAGTACCAGAGAGAGCCCAAACTAGGCATCTTCTCCAATGAGCTGGGGTGATTTGGGGCTGATTTTTTACCCACCCACCATTAGGACTTGGAAGTTGGTGATAAGTTTAAGAGGCCCGCATGTCCCTTCCCCTTGCCCAGCCAGGCCCACTTGTGTGGAGCACCCAACCACTCTCACACCCCCCTGCCCAGGACCTGCTACTCGAGTTGACCCAGACTGCGGGAGGGCATTGGGTGAGGGTGGACTCCCCCAGCAGCACAGCTCCCAGCCAGGCCCTTGAGGCCAAACCTGCATTTTGGCGAGGTCCCCACAATTCATGTGCATGTGAAGTTGTGAAGCGCAGGCTGGCAGCACTCCCACAAGCCAGCAGACCAGACCGACCCCAGCCATCCAGCTCCAGGGCCGTACGGAGGGTAGTAGTTGTAAAATGTATGATTTTTATTTTGACAGTGTCCCTTTAAAAAATCAAAGTCGCACCCTGCCTCACTGGCCAGCAAGAAACCTAAAAGGGAAACTGTAAGTGTGTTTGGCCCTGTGGCCGTGTCTCTGCCCCTCACCCTGATTATTAAGCCAATGACAAGTACGGGAAGTCATTTTCACCCCAGGTTGACGTGTTTGGTTGATTTAATCTGTCAAATCCACTCTCCCCAGTCCCCGGCTTCCCTGCTCAGAAAAGGAGTTTTGTGGAACAAGCAGAGCTCAAGGTCTGTCGGCAAAAAGCCAGTCTCTTGGATCCCCCCTGCCAGGCACACCGGCCTCAGGCCGCCCCTTCCCGCCAGCTCTGCTCTGTCCGTGGTCCCAGTGCCCTTGTTCCCCTTTTGTTTCTTGCTGGCAGTGGAATGATGGAGGTGGAACTAATGTGGCTGCTAGATTTTGCAAATAGCACTCCTAGCGCTTGCTTGTCATTCTACACCCCCTGCTCTCTGCCCCTTGAGTTTTAGCTCTTTGGGCCAAAGATTTGGTTTTCTTGCATTTTCCCTGCATTTCAAGGAGCAGGCTGGGGGCCGGAGAGTGTGTGGCAGCCAGGCTGGGCCTCTGGTAAAGCGTAGAGGTGAGAGTCACTGGGGAGTCAACCTACAGATAGGTGTTTTCTTTTAATGGGGGCTGAAGGTGTTCAGAGTAATTGTTTACCTTTAAATTGAAGATGGGTTGGGAACAAATGTGGGGCACCACTGGCTCAAGTGACCTGGGGACCGGGAGGTGCTTGCTGAGGGCAAGAGGCCCCATCCTGACCCCCCTGCCTCCTCTATGGTCCCAGGATTGCTTTACCACCTTCCTTCCTGCCAGTCAGATGGGTAGGTGGCCCTGGCCGGTGTGGCTCAGTTGGTTGAGCATCGTCCTGTGTACCAAGAAATAACTAATTTGATTCCTGGTAGGGCACATGCCCAGGTTGCTGGCTTGATCCCCAGTAGGGGACGTGCAGGAGGCAACTGATTAATGTTTCTCTCTTTCTAAAACATCAATAAAAACATTAAAGAAACAGATGGGCAGGTGAGGGTTTCACGTAGGGAGCACTGTGGACATTTGCCCTTCACCTTATTTAATGTGAGTGAGGACAGGTGGCTGCCCCACTCTACAGGGGCCCAGCACTGACATGCCCAGCACCCGAGCATTTCCCTTCTCCCTTCACCTTTAACCCTAAAGCCAGACACAGCCTGTTGATGTGACTTATTCCCAGCAAGGGGGAAACCGAGGTTCTGAACCAGGGGGCCCATCAGAATCATACGTCATCCCTTGGATGCCTGCCCAGGTCCACCGAGGATCTAGTGTTGGGCCAGATGTCTGTGTTTTGGGGCAGAGCTCCCCGGGGACCAGGCCCTCCCTGGTCTAGAACACGTGGTTCCCTGGTTTCTCTCAACTCTGGCATGGCTTTGCTTTCCACCTGCCCCTCTCACTAACCCCCTCACTCTCTGCCCCCTGCCCAGCAGGAACACAAAGCCAGGTCGGGGCTGTCTGAGGCTCGGAATGGGGTGGCTCTTCCAGATGCCCTCTCCCTTCCTGTCAAATGGGCATTTGGTGTTCAAGGCTGTGCTGCACTGATGGCGAGGGATCCCTGGGCAGGCGTCTGGTGCTGCTCTAGAGCTCCTGGCGCCCTCTGCAGAGGGAGGACTTAAACCCCTGGAAGGTGGAGACCACAGGAGATGGTCAGAAAGCAGGTGCTGGGGAGTAGACCATCTCGGGCATAAGCCCGGGCAGTGGGCAGGGAGCCTAGCCAACCCCTCCCTCACCCGCTCTTGTCCCCAGAGCTCGGACAGCATCCCGCCGGGCTATGAGCCCATCTCTCTGCTTGAGGCGCTCAACGGCCTCCGGGCCATCTCCCCGGCCCTCCCCTCGGCTCCCCTGTATGAAGAGATCACCTACTCGGGCGTCTCGGATGGTCTGTCCCAGGCCAGCTGCCCACTTGCTGGGCTTGATCGCATCATGGAAAGCAGCCACCAGAAGGGCAAGTCACGGAGCAAATCCCCCGACAGGTGAGGCTGGGCCGAGGCCGGGATTCCCTCTGGGAAGGGTATCTGGGAACCCACCCGCCTGCTTGTGGGCCAGGGCACAGGAGGCGTATGCTAGTAGAAAAGAAGTGCAAAGCAGGGTGATTTGTAGTTTTAAATAATTTTATAACGTGTTTTGTTTGGTGATCACCAGAAAGACTAATAAGACCAGTAGCGGGTTAGGCTCCCGGGTAAGGTTGATGTCAGCAAAGGCAGCAGGAATGAAAATGCATCAGTGGAGGCCAGAGGCGCCGGTGCCCTCCCTGTCCCAGGCCTCACCGCAGGGGCGTGAGCGCTGTCGCACCAGGAGAGCTGTTTGAGTTTCAGGGTCCTGGGACTTTCTGGGGGTTGGTCACATGGGCACATCCTGCTGTGTGACTGGTGAACCAGGATTGTCATCCCAGCGCCCATCATGGCTCCTTGGACACTTGCTAGGCCCTGCAGCCAGCCTTGACTGGTGAGTCTTTCCTCACACACATGCTGGCTTTTTACTAGGGAAGTATAAGGAAGGCACAGGTTCCATAAAGCCAACTGTGGCCCCATGACTAATACACATGTCAGGCTCACTTCAAAGATGCAGAACCCTGGGAATCTCCTGCTGCCTCCCTTGCCCAGCCCTCCAGCCCAGAAGTACGCCATCACGGTTGTCCTCTCCTTCTGGAAATAAAAAGCCGTGTTTAGGTCCTAGCCAGATTGGCTCAGTGGATAGAGTGTCGGCCTGCAGACTGAAGGGTCCCAGGTTCAATTCTGATCAAGGGCACATGCCCGGGTTGCAGGCTCAATCCCCAGTGGGGAGCATGCAGGAGGCAGCCAATCGATGATTCTCTCTCATCATTGATGTTTCTATCTCTCTCCCTCTCTCTTCCTCTCTGAAGTCAATAAAAATATATTAAAAAATAAAATAAAAATAAAAAGCCGTGTTTAGGCCTCTGCAAGTGCCCAGGTGAACAGCCTCCACACTGCTAGCTAGCACCCTGCTGGCATTCTGCTGATGCCCACAACTCCCCGGGCGCATCTGCCCGCAGCTCCAGGCAACATATGCAGGCTCACCCTCACGTGGAGCTGGCGTTGGTAAGGTCACTTTTCTACCCACTTGTCTTCTACCCTCCTCTCTGCCCAGCACCCTGCGGTCCCCCTCATCCCCCATCCACGAAGAGGATGAGGAGAAGCTCTCCCAGGACTCGGACGCCCCTCCCCTGCCGAGTGGGGCTGGGCTGGTGCTGAGCAGCTCCCCAGAGGTGAGTTCCCGTCCTGGCCCCCCCTCGGTCCTGCCCACCTGAGGTCTGAGTCCCCACTGCTTGCTGTTTGCCTCTGAGGCCTGTTTCATGGTGTGCCCGGGCCTGCCCTGCCCTGCCATCACTCAGTGGAGGTTGGCACCAGTCCTGGGTCAGCACCATAGCTCCAGGCGCATTTTCCCTTGTTTCCTAGAGTTTCCTCACGGAGGAGGTTGATGAGAGGTCGTCGCTAAAGCAAGGTGAGCCCTGTTTTCTGAAGGGCAGGGTTCCAGTGCTGCCTGTCGGGAGGGCAGAGGTCTCCAGCTCAGATCCCTAGGGTTTCTCCTGGGAACCACTGCACAGTGTCTCAGGACAGCCCGCAGCCGCTCCTGGTTTTCCCTCCCACCATCAGCATCGGGTAGTGTGGCCATTTTATATCCCACCTGGATCGTTCTGCACGTGGTCAGCTCTCCCGGCCTGGCCTTGGGCTGTTCCCATCCCTTGGTAGTCCTGCCAGCACCTAGACAGATCCAGGGCCTTTGTGTGGACAGAGGGCTCAGCTAGGTCCAGGTCTCCCGTGTGGGAGTGGGGGGCTGGCTCCTCTCTTGATGGAAGTTTTAGTACGTAGCAGCCTACAGGGTCAGGACGCAGCCGCCCATCACATGTGCTGGCTCTGAGTCGAGGGATGACCTTGCCTGACCTCACAGTGGTTGTGGGACATAATGAGGTGCTTCCCTCTGCTGGCTGGGGAGACGCCATCTCTCTGCTGTCTTGATCATTTCTCCCCAGTGTGGGCAGGTGAGGAAACAGGCTCAGGGCTGGTTTTGGGGGAGGCCAAGGCCACTTAATTTAGAGGTAATAGAGCCAGGAGTGGCCCTTGCTGGCTGCCCCCCAAGCCTGCAATCTGGTAAAGGACCCCAAAATAACCCACAGACACTCCATTGCTATAACCCCTTCTTGCCGGGGGTCCCCTGGCCAACATTGCACTGTGGGGGCCCACATCCCTTCCAGAAGCAGCCCCCCACCCCACGGATGGTGCCCAGGTTTAGGGGTGTCTGTTCCTGGAAGCACCGTGCCATCCCTGCCTGCCTGGCCTGGTGCAGGGCAAGCCCTTCTGCTTCTCAGGCCTTGGCTCCCCACCTCCCTCAGGGTTGGCTTTTCCTGCTGGTGCCAAGCATGTGCTGGGACTGGGCAGCCTCTGCTGTGCCCTGTCACAGGGGCCAGACCCCTTTCTGTAGGAGAGAGAACCGTGCAGGCCTGAGGCTGAGAGCTGATGTGTGAGAGGAACAGCCACACTGGAGGCCCCCATCGGCGTGTCCATGCAGGACCTGCTGTGGTGTGTGTGGACCAGGGGCTGTCAGCCTGCTCACCCAGGAAGATCAACAGAGAGTTAGATCTGTTACCATTTTATCTTGTTTTTTTTAAACTTGGGCATGTTTTTTAATGATAAAAATAAGACAGAAGCCCCATACTGGGGGTGTGAGAGAAGAAAAGAGAGGGAGAATAGGGTCCAGGGAGGGCAGAGGGGGAGTCAGGAGACCAAGGGCTCCAGCAGCTGCAGTGCCCTCAGGAATGAAAGGCGGGCTCCTGGGGATCTCAGCCAGAGGAGTGGCCCACCCACCCCTGCTGGTGGTGCCTGACCTGCTCTCCTCTGCAGGGAGCCGTGTACCTTCCATTGACAACGTCCTCCAGGATGGCAGCCCTGAGCCCTGTGGCTGCTGCCAGCCCGGCCCACCTACCGACATCTACCTTCCAGGTAACAGCACTCAGCCTTCGGGCTCGGGACCTGCCCGGCCTCGGGCGGTGCTGTGACCATCCTCATGAAGTTGGGGGCCTAGTGGTGCTCTGACTACTCAGGGAGGGGCTGACTGGTGGGGAGCCTGCCCCCCTCTCTCTGGCTCTGAGTTCATGCTCCTTCCATCAGCCCCCATAGCACAGCCAGGCTCAGTTTCCATACTCGCCCCTCCTGCAGCCCTTGACTCTTTGGGGCAGAGCCTGTGCCAAGGCCTCTTTGCAGCCCAGACCCAGCTCAGCTTCAGGAAGGCAGGAAAGGCTGTGTTTAAGGACACGGTCCTTTTCCCCGTCCATCTCCTGCATTGCCGTATCTTCCTGCATCCATGGCTCTGGCATGCTTGGACCTCTGCCCCAGGGAGCTATGAACAACGCCACCTGCCTGCCTTAGGCCTGACACCAGCTTTCCTCTACCTGCCCGAGGTCCCTGGTGAAGCAGGGCATCCCACGCCAGGGTGCAGCAGGTCGGGCTGGTGTGTTGGGTGCCAGCAAGGCTCGAGGCAGCTGGGAACAGTCCTGCTTCTCTTCTCTTTTCTGAGGCCTCCGCCCAGGGTCCTTTGGCCTCGGCTGCTCTGCTCTCTGTTCCTCTGGGCCAGAATCCTCGGCTTCAAATCCTGGGCTCCACAGATGGGGGATAGAAGTGGAGGGGCTCTCAGATGCTCATGTTGGCACCTGCTAGGATACCATCTGAGGTTCTGGAATCAAAATAAATAGTTACATTGCCCCTAGAGAGCCTGGCTCCTGCCACATGGCCAGGGAGCTTTGGGGGCCCTCCTGCCTGTCCCTAGAGCCATCGTTGCCTGGTCCCTGGGGAGCTGGCTTGAGCATTGGGGGCTGTGACATGCTTTGGTTTGGAAGGGCCTCTTGCCCCCATCTGGCTCCTGGACGAGCAGCGAGTGGCTTTGCAGGCAGAGGGTCACCAGGTGTGTGAGGAAGCAGGACAGCTCTTGGTTCAGTGGCACATATTGGCCTGCCCATAGGGACACCCACAGGTAAAAGCATACCTTAGAGCAGGGGTCCTCAAACTATGGCCCACGGGCCACATGCAAATACAAATATTGTATTTGTTCCCGTTTTGTTTTTTTACTTCAAAATAAGATATGTGCAGTGTGCATAGGAATTTATTCATAGTTTTTTTTTAAACTATAGTCCGGCCCTCCAACGGTCTGAGGGACAGTGAACTGGCCCCCTGTTTAAAAAGTTTGAGGACCCCTGCCTTAGAGTAACATAGAATTTCAGTAAGTTCTTTGAGAGGACTTCAAGTATTTCATTGTGATTCAAATTTGGGGGGAGGTGGCCAGGAGAGGGACTGGGCTTTCTGGGGCCACAAGCCTCCACTCTGGCCTCCTTGGGCCCGAAGTCCTTGGCCTGAGCTGCGGTGTCGGGTGGACAGGAGGCTCAGAACCCACAAGCCCCCTCTGATGCGCAGTGAAAGGTCTTCTGTTTTGGCCGGAGCCATAGCCCCTTAGGGCATGTCTGAGTGTGAGGCCTGATCCCTAAGGGCAGGTGCCCACACAGCCTCTGCAGCGCCACCCCTCACCCTTCGCTCCTCGAGTGGCCCAGAGTGCTCAGGGGTCTGCAGGGTTGGGACAGGCCGTAGCTGCTGGGCTCGGCCTACAGGTGAGACCAGGACTTCTGGCTCTTGAGCCCCTGAGCCTCTAGCTGACATGTGGGGCGGGAAGCAGTTGGTTGTGGAAGTGGTGGAGGAGAGGCCAGAGTCTGCATTCAGGGCCTGACTGGACAGTGAGGTGGGCAGTATCCGGCTCCTGAGCCCGGCTCCACCCTGGCTCTGCGCCTGTCCAGTCTGCAGGGCAGGGTGGGATCTCAGCACCGCTCAGAGCCCAGAGAGGAAGCGGGTGCTGTTAGCGACCTGCACCTGCTCTCCACAGGCACCACTGATTGCAGCTGGGGGTGGGCAGGGGTCCTCACAGGGGCGCACAGCTGTGTGAGCACGTGTCCATGCCTTCTCGTCACATGCTGGGCCCGCTATTCTGCTGCTGGCTTGTTTCAGTTAGGGGAGGTCCTGAGCATCTTTCACGTGTGTTTAAGAATGTGAACACGTACACTGGGGTGTCTTCATTCTTTATAACAACTGCACAGCCACCCGGAGGGATGAAGCATTATTTAGTGACTCTTAGTGTTCCCTGTTGATGGGGAAAATGACATTGGGGGAATCTATAAATGGAAAACCTAGATGCCTGTGTCCCCACAGCCCTTCCTGGGCTCCACCTTCCAGCGGGGTCCAGCACTGCCCGGCCCCCAATCCTTCCATAGGCTGAGTTTCTCTGCGTAAGAATTGGCCCAGAACTCCTTCTCAGGAAATACATTTTCAGCCGATGCCCACCTTTTGTTCCAGCACATCGGTTGGTGTGGGTTTTCATTTCCAGTCCCCACCCTCTCAGGGCCACTTGTCCTAAGGTCAGTGCATCTGCTGTGGGTGTGCTGTCTATCGAGCCTTTGCTAACCAGGCTTCTGTCTCTCTCTGCACAGCCCAGGCCCCCGACTCCTGTTCTGTTGGCATCGAGGAGTAAGCTGGTACGTGGCCGCCGCCATGCTTGTGGTGGGTGGCTCCGAGGGGCATCCTTGGCAGGGGTTAGTGAGGAAATCCCCCAGCTGCCTCTCCCTCTCCTGCTCCCTCCAGGGGGTTCCTCCCCATTTCCCAGCCTCCTCCACATCCTGTCTTCCTTTGGGCCCTGGATTCTAAATCCAGAGCTCTCCCAGCGCTGCTGCCCCTTTGCCCCAAAGAGGTGGTCCTGGGGGTCTAATGCTGGCTTTGGGGCCAGAAATTCTCCCATCGGGACCAGGCTGCCCAGTCAGGCTGTTTTAGCCTTTAGGGTCCCAAGAATGGGGACCCAACCCTAGCTGAGACCTCCATCATTGCTGCTACTAACTGTCCCCCTACCCACCTCTGGAACCTTCCAGAACACCACCAGCACACTCATATCAGTCTATTAGCAAGTCATATGAGGTTGACTCCCCACCTGATTAGGGAGGTGCCTCCTACCTGGGTGACCCAAACAGACACTTTACAGAAGGCAGTTCCAAGAGTACCACCGAGACATAGGCCATGTGTGTTGGCCCTTCCCCTCCTTCATGTGACATTAGTGGCTCTGGGAAGTCTGATGATACAGAGCCTGGTGCCTTTGGTGGCCCTGGATTTCTCAGATGAGTATGGTGTGGAACGTTCTCGCAGGACTCTTGGCATCAGAGTCCAGCAGCCCCAGCTGGAGACACCAGGTCAGGCTTGTGTCTGGCCTTCCTCCCGGTCGGCTGTCCTGAGCCCAAGCTGTGGTGTCTGTCCACTTGTTTTGACGACTGCTCTTACATTCCCACAAAAACCTCTTGTCTTCCTCACACATTTCTTCTGACAAATCTTACCCTCTGTCGGACACTTTTATTCTTTAAAAAAAAAAATGTTTTTATTGATTTGAGAGAACGGAAAGGAGAGGGGGAGAAAGAGAAACATTGATTGGCTGCCTCACACCCCATTCTGGGCATCTAGCCTGCAAGCGGGCATGTGCCCCAACCAGGAATCAAACCAGTGACCCTTTGGTGCACGGGATGACGCTCAACCAGCTAAGCCACAGCAGCCAGGACAGGGTCCTGCGCTTTTATAAAGCTGGTCCCAGCCTCCACTCTGGAAGATGTTCAGTGTTGCAATTTAGGTAAAACCACCAGAAGTAGGAAACAGGTCAGAGCTACAGAGAAATATACTTTGCTTGGCAGAGCTGACTTTCTGCACACAGCCACAGCGCCTACGAAAATCGTCCCCTTGCCTGAGGGTCTGTGTCACAGACGGCTGGTGGCAGACGCACTGCTTGGTTTGCTCTGTGAAGACGCCCGTGGAGCCCACCTTCAAGTGGGTGGGTGGGAGGCCATGCATTCTGCAGCCCTGGAAAGTGTGCTGATCCCTCTGCTGCTGCAGCCCCCAGTCACGGATCCTCACACCAGCACCCAGGCAAAGGGGACACCCTGTCCAGGGTCAGAGCACTTCACGGCATTGGGGAGGCAACTGTGGTAACAATAGGCCTCTGAGGAGGGCAGGCTAGTCTCCTGGGTCTGCTCTGAGCACTGGCTGTACGTCCACTCATTTTTGCCTGGGGCTGACCAATCCCAGCCTAAGTTAGGAAGCTCTGAGGACTGGCTGGTCAGTTTCCAGGAGCACAGACCTTGCAAGGGCAGGAGGCCTGGGGGTCAGCAGCCCAAGGTGCCCTGTTTTGTTCCAGGGCTACAGCTGCTGCTGGCACCACAGACGTGCATGCGCAGAGGTGGGTGCAGACTGGCCCTGCCCTCCAGGTTTTAAAGTTGGTAGGAACCTGGAGCCTGCAGGGGTCAAGGGAGCAGGTGAGGCGGGAAGACTCGTCCAAGCCTGACCCTCCTCCCTCTGCTCCCACCTGCAGGAAGGTCCATCTCCATGAAGACACCGGAGCCTCCTTGCCACTGGCCCCACCTAGCCTCTGGTGGCCCCAGTCCTGATGTGGAGGCCACCGCCTGACTCAACTCTGAAAGCCTGGCCAGGCTGGCAGCATGGAGCCCTCAGCTCCCCAGACTTTGCCAAGGGGCTGTCTGGACTCCATTGAGACCCCTGGCCTCTCCTATCTGCACACCCTTCATAGCCACGGCTCCAAGGGGCCCTGCGACCCTTGATTGAAGAGCACAGTGGACTGTCCCCCTGACAAACCTTTTTTGCTGCGGTTTCTGTATTTGTAAATGGTACACAATGAAGGACAGCCCCTTTCTGTCTCGGGCACTGAGCTCTGAGTTCCCCCAAATCTCTTGTTGGCTGAATGGCTGGAGCTGGAGGCTGGCTACCCACATGTCCCAGATTGGCTTTATCCAGCCCCCCAGCCAGTGGGAGGCTGAAACCCTGAGAACTCAGCAAACCGGCAGGAGAGAATTTATCGGTGGGTGAAGTACTGTCTTCCCAGGGGGTAGTACTGGGGGGGCTTGTTGTTGGGGAAGGGAAGGAAGGGGGATCCGAGTCACGGTCAATGAAGGAAACGATGCCTGTGCCCGTCCCCCGAGGTCATGGCCTGGCTGGCACTGCTGCTTTGTGTCCTCTGCTGCTTCCCCTCCCGCGCAGGCCCTCCGTGCAGGGCTGTATAGCTTGCAGCCTTCCCTGTGGCCTGCGCAGCCTGCGTTTCTGCACTCGGGCCTGACTCTTCCCAGGGGCAGAGGTGCAGTGCACAGCCTATTGGCAGCAGTTGGTCTAGTGCCGTGGTCGGCAAACTGCGGTTCGCGAGCCACATGCGGCTCTTTGGCCCCTTGAGTGTGGCTCTTCCTAAGCCTTAGGAGTACCCTAATTACGTTAATAACAATGTACCTACCTATATAGCTTAAGTTTAAAAAATTTGGCTCTCAAAAGAAATTTCAATCGTTGTACTGTTGATATTTGGCTCTGTTGACTAATGAGTTTGCCAACCACTGGTCCAGTGGCCCCTCTCCAGGCCCTGCACCTTCTCAGAGGTGGCTTTGCACACGTCCTCAGACCCCCTCCAGGTGGAGGGGCCTCCGCTCAGCTTGTCGGCCCGCTCAGGGAGGGATCTGAGCAACATTTCTGCTCCCTCCTCCCTCCGTGTCCTTTAAATGTCACTCGGTGTTTCTCATTGATTTGTTCTGTCTGGGGCTCCTGTGGTGGGACCTGCCTCCTGGAGAAGGGTCCCATTTGAAGTGGCCTCATCATTTTCTTAAGATAAACCACCTGGGCAATAGAAAAGCAGAGGAGGCACAGGCTGCCCAAGCAGGGACCTTGGCCTGGTGGGTGGGTGGGTCTGTGCAGCTCCCCAAAGGGCCAACACTTTGGGCCTTGGATTAGGGGGTTCAGAGGAGCTCGCTTTCTGAGGATGATGGTTCTGGGAGCATCCACACAGCTGGGGGCTTTGTCCAGTAGGGTCCTTGTTCTCTCTCCAATGGGCTGTGAGCAGAGTGCTGCCTTATGCACAGCTCTCGGCCACCCTCGGGCCACCTTCCTCAGCCGCTTGGCTCCCTGTCTCTCCCCCCCCCCCCCAACTCCCACCCACTGGTGTGCTCATGGGTGCACATGTGCACACATACAGGCTGTCTCTCTCCTCTCCCTCATCACCCACCAACACCCTGGCCTCTTGCCGTTGGCATTGGTGCCAGTACTCCGAATGACAGGATGCAGTACCCCTGTCTTGGACTTAAACATGCTATCATTTGATGTATTCTGATTGGCTAGTTTTTGTTCCTTTTTACTGTATATTTATAGTAATAAAATCATCCAGCAATATCCTGTTCATTCCTTTCTCCACGCGTAGCACTGCAGGACCTCACCTGTTTCTTAGAGGCCGGACTGCTGAGTGGCGAGTGGCGGTCTGACACCCTTACAGCAGTGAGAGTACCAGCTTGTGGCCGCAGTCTGTTTCATGTGTAAGACATCAGTGAGGTCCGACTCCAGGAGGGAGTGAGGGTTACTGTTGTGGTCACTGTGCTGATTCTTGGATTGGACCGAATGGTTCCAGGGGATTCAGCTCAGCCTTCTGAGCAGGTGGAGGAGGAGCCAGGGCCTCCAGGTTTGTGAGAGGCTGCTGTGGTCCCCAGCACCATGTTCTGTGTCGCTGATTCATCCCATAGATGTTTCCTGACCACCTTCTGTGTGCCAGCAGAAGGCAAGATGGACAAGGTCCAGGCCCCTGGGAGCTTGTCAGTGAGACTCTACACAAATAAATCTACATCTTCCCCGATTTGGTTACCATTAGGAAGAGTCAGCAGGTGCCAAGATGGGGTCACATGGGGGACTTAATTTAACCCGTAGTCTGGCAGAGCAACCCAGGCAGCTGGCACAGAAAGTACAAAGGCCCAGAGATGGAGTGAGCCCAGGATGTCCACCAAGTGGAAAGAAGCACACGTGGCCAAAGCGTCGGAACTGGGATTTGGTTGCAAATACTGCAAGACTTTGTAGGGGCAATCAGAGGTTTATTCTAAGAACAGAGGTTTTTAAGCAAGAGAGTGACTCCTGATGTCATGTGGAGAATGGATTAGAGGGGCAGGTTTGGCTGCCATGATGCTGGAGCCCAGCTGGGAGCCCTCTGCAGTGAATTCCCTGCCCAGTGAATGGTTTCCCAGTAGGGAAGAGATGGTGCCCCAGAATGCCAGGCCGCACTGTTTGCACCCCGACCCCTAGCTTTGTAAACACAACTCCAAATTACCTCCACAGGCCTCTGTGCCTGTGTGTGTATCCTATATAATAAAAGGCTAATATGCAAATCGACTAACAGCAGAATGACCAGTCGCTATGATGTGCACTGACCACCAGGGGGCAGACACTCAATGCAGGAGCTGCCCCTGGTGGTCAGTGCACTCCCACAGGGGGAGCACCACTCAGCCAGCAGCCGGGCTCACGGCTAGCGAGTGCAGTGGCGGTGGCAGGAGCCTCTCCCACCTCCATGGCAATCGGACATCTCCCGAGGGCTCCCAGACTGTGAGAGGGCGCAGGCTGGGCTGAGGGGACACCCCCCCCAGGGCACGAAATTTGGGGGAGGGTTCCCCTCAGCCCAGCCTATGCCCTCTCCAATCCAGGACCCCTTGGGGTATGTCCAACTGCCTCTCACAATCCAGGACCATTGGCCCCTAACCACTCACCTGCCTGCCTTCCTGATTGTCCCTAACCACCTTTGCCTGCCTGCCTGATCACCCCCAACTGCTTCCCTATCAGCCTGATTGCCCCTAACCTCCTCTGCTTCGCCCCACACCCGGGACCCAGGATTCCCTACTCCAGCTAGTTGCAGGCACCCGGGACCCAGGCCGGCTTCGCCTGGGCCGGCTGTGGCCGCAGGGGACCGTAGGCGGGTGGCTTTGCCTGGGCCGCAGCTGCAGGCACCCGGGACTGTGGGGCGGGCGGCTTGTCCCTCTCCTGGGCCGCAGCCTGGCTGGTCCCTATTCCTCTCTCCCTAGTGTTGAGTGTCTGAGCCATTACGGCATGACGGTGTGAGGGTGTGATGACCACTTGCATATTAGCTCTTTATTATATAGAACTAGAGGCCCGATGCACAAAAATTTGTGCACTTGGGTCCCTCAGCCCAGCCTGTGCCCTCTGGGACCCCTCGGGGGATGACCATCTGCTAGCTTAGGCCTGCTCCCCGGGGGATTGGGCCTAAGCTGGCAGACATCCTTCTGGCAGCCTGGGACCCCTCGGGGGATGTCCACTTGCCAACAGGGAGCAGGCCTAAGCTGCAGTCAAACATCCTTAGCACTGCTGAGGAGGCGGGAGAGGCTCCCACCACCACCGCTGTACTGGCAGCCGTCAGCCTGGCTTGTGACTGAGCAGAGCTCCCCTGTGGGAGCGCACTGACCACCAGGGGCAGCTCCTGCATTGAGCATCTGCCCCCTAGTGGTCAGTGTGTGTCATAGTGACCAGTCATTCCCAGTCGTTCTGCGACAATTTCCATATTACCCTTTTATTATATAGGATAGAGGCCTGGTGCATGGGTGGGGGCCGGCTGGTTTGCCCTGAAGGGTGTCCCAGATCAGGGTGGGGTTCCCACTGGGGTGCCTGGCCAGCCTAGGTGAGGGGTTGAGGGCCATTTTCATACTGGCCATACCCCCTTCAGGGTGGGGGTCCGTGCTAGAGTGCCTGGCCAGCCTGGGTGAGGGGCTGAGGGCCATTTTCAGGCTGGCCACACCCCCTTCAGGGAGGGGGATCCTGCTGGGGTGCCTGGCCAGCCTGGGTGAGGGGCTGATGGCTGTTTGCAGGCTGGCCACGGCCCCCAGCCACCCAAGCTCCCAGTGGAGGCTGGCTGGAAGCAGGTATCTGGGATTTATTTATCTGCTATAACTGAAACTTTGTTGCCTTGAGCGGAGGCCACAGCCGGCCAGAGCAGGTGGGAAGCTTGGCTTTCTCCATCACCAGGGCAACCAAGCCTTCTGCTTGCTCCAGCTCTGTGGCTGCCAGCCGCCATCTTGATTGGATTAATTTGCATATAGTCACTCTGGATGGTGGGCGTGGCTCGGGTGTAGCAGAGGTGTGGTCAATTTGCATGTTTCTCTTTCATTAGATTAGATTGATTTTAGAGAGGAAGGGAGAAGGAGAGATAGAAACATCAATGATGAGAGAGAATCATTGACTGGCTGCCTCCTGCACACCCCACATGGGGATCCAGCCCGCCCCCCAGGTATGTGCCCTGACTGGGAATCGAACCATGACCTCCTGGTTCATAGGTTAAAGCTCAATTTCTGAGCCACGCCGCCAGGCCCCTTCTTTTTTTTAATTCTCACTCAAGGATATGTTTATTGATTTTAGACAGACAGGAAGGGAGGGAGACAACCATGTGAGAGAAAAACATTAACTGGCTGCCTTCCACATGCACCCAGACCAGGGATCAAACCCACAACCCAGGTATGTCATGACCTTTTGGTTTACTGGGCAACACTCCAACTGAGCCACACTGGCCAGGGCCACTGGGCCCTTCTTCAGCTCAGGCACTAGAGCAGTGATGGTGAACCTATGACACGCTGTCAGAGGTGACGCGCGAACTCATTTTTTTGGTTGATTTTTCTTTGTTAAATGGCATTTAAATATATAAAGTAAATATCAAATATATAAGTCTTAGTTTTACTATGGTTGCAAATATCAAAAAATTTCTATATGTGACACGGCACCAGAGTTAAGTTAGGGTTTTTCAAAATGCTGACACGCTGAGCTCAAAAGGTTCGCCATCACTGCTCTAGAGAATGGAAACAGTGCACTTGGCTGGCCAATCCCTGCCCTGAGGACGGACTGCCACCTTGGTTGTGCCAGTGAGGGTAGGAAGATGCTCAGTGTCAGATGTGTTCCTGCATGGGCTACACTGGATCTCCCTCCTTACTTCCCCAAATGGACCCACCTTGTTCATTCACGTCTGGTGTCAGGGAGGGATTGGGCACAGGGTGCCTTTCCTCTGTGCCCCCTGCTGCACTCTGGCCCTGGGTCATGCCCTGCCGCCTGGAGATAGGGTCGTCTGATTGGGCCCTTCCCCTCAGGGACCTCTCCCCTTCAGATACTGGCCTGGGACCTGGCCTGTCAGCTGCAGCTGCTCCTCTGAGCGCTGACTGGCAGAGGCCACAGCTGGGGAGAGGGCCGCCCTCTTTGGGTCCTTATTTCCCACATCTTCTGATAGAATACACCACGGGCCAAACATACCAGTTTCTGGTAGATCCTACCAACCCTTGCCTGCCCTCGGCCTCCTCTCCTCTCCTCCTCAGCCCTGCTCAGGGCAGCCTTCCCCGTGCCACAGACTCCAAGGCTGTGCCCGTGGTACCCATCCTGAGCTGCTTCACTCAGCAAATCCATGCTCACCATGGGGAGGCACGTGGAGCTTGGGCCAGTAGGTGGAGTGAGTGGCACCAGGACTCAGAACCCCCGCGGCTTCCTTCTGCACAAACGTGGGGTAAGTACCTGAGGCAGAAGGCGGGTTTTCTGTCGTGGACACTGGGCAAGAGACAGGGTGGAGCTCTAGGGTAGGATCCTGGCTCCATCGCCAACTGTCGAGTGCCCTTCGGCAAGGCCTGCCCCTATGAGCCCAAGGTCCTCCTCCTCCTCGGAAATTGGGGAGACCCTATTTCCTCCAACAGTACCTGGCATCTGGGGCCTGACTTGGAGGACACGGGGCATTGGGCCCGGAAGCTCCCAGCCCGGGACTTAAGTCACTTTGGCCCTAGCCAACTGGGTGTGGGGAGTCTGTGGCTTCTCGTCCTCTGCCCCCAGCCCAGGTCTGCGCGTGGACTCGCCCTGTGGGGCAGTTGGAGCTCCCCAGGCCCTTCGTGCTGATACGGAGTCAGGCAGACCGATGTGCTTTGCAGGTGTAGGCGCCCAGGGCTGTGAGGCGTGCCTGCAGGGAAGGGTTGGAGGGAGAGGCAGGAGGCGCCCACGTGCCCCAGGAGGCGCTGGGGGAAGGCCTCGCCATGGGCGCCGTGGTCTCGGAGGACCCCGCTGCCCTGCTCACTGCCCCATCCCCGCAGGCTCCGCACGCAGCAGGCGGAGGTGGAGCTCGGCTCGCGCGTTGCCTGCCGGGCGTTGTGGTTTCGAGTGCCCGCAGCTGGGCCGGCATCCGGTTTCGGAGGCTATTGGGTGCGGCCGCGGTGCGCGCCGTCCCTCCTTTTGCACACGCCCCTGCGCCTCTCAACGACGCGTCGCGGTGGGCTCTGTCCCGATGCGCGTCAGCGATTGGTGGAGGGGGCGCCGCTGCCCGCGGATTGGCCAGTGTGGCGGGGGCGGGCCAGCGCACGCACTTAAGGGGAGGCGCCGCGGCGCGGGGGGTAGTAACAAGATGTCGGCTGCGGTGCCAGAGCTGAAGCAGATCAGCCGGGTGGAGGCGATGCGCTTGGGGCCGGGCTGGAGCCACTCGTGCCACGCCATGCTGTACGCCGCCAACCCCGGGCAGCTTTTCGGCCGCATCCCCATGCGCTTCTCGGTGCTGGTGAGGACGCGGGCGGGCGGACGTGGGCGGGACGTCGCTCGGACCCGCGCCCGTGACCCGGCGCTCCCTTGTAGATGCAGATGCGCTTCGACGGGCTGCTGGGCTTCCCCGGAGGCTTCGTGGACCGGCGCTTCTGGTCATTGGAGGACGGACTGAACCGGGTGCTGGGCCTGGGCCTGGGCTGCCTGCGCCTCACCGAGGCCGACTACCTGAGCTCGCACCTGACCGAGGGCCCGCACCGTGTCGTGGCGCACCTGTACGCGCGGCAGCTGACGCTGGAGCAGCTGCACGCCGTGGAGATCAGCGCGGTTCATTCGCGCGACCACGGCCTGGAGGTGGGGCCGCCGCCCGGGCCCCGCCCCCCACCCCGGGGTTTGGCTCTGGCCCTGCGGAAGGCACCGATGGGTAACACGTCCTCCTGAGGGTCCCCTGGCAGGGCTGGGTGGGGGGTGACTGCAGCCTCGGGGTAGCGAGAGGGACCTGAGGTGCCGGTGGGAGGCTGGGGCTCCCTCGGGGCTGTGTTCCATCCGCCTTGCCTGCCATTGCCAATCCTGGGGGTGGGGAGTGGGATTGGTTGGGGTGATGGGATGGGGCGGGACCTGCTCGAGGAGGTGGGAAGTTGAAGAGCAGAAAGGGGAACTGGGAATGAAGATTGGGTTCGCGTGGTGCAGGGGTTGAGGGCTCTTGTGATTTGGGGGTGTTAGGGTCTGGAAGGGCTGGGAGTGACAGTTGCTGTGTTGGGGATTCACCTGCTGCAAGAGGGAGCATGGGATGCGGACTGGGGGGCTTCCTGCCAGCGGGTGGAGGCTGGAACATGAGGATGCAAAGGGTGGGGAGTGCATGAGGTGGCCCTGAAATTTGCTTGGGGAGGAGAGGGCTGCACTGCTCCAAAGGAGCTGGCTGGCTTCTGCCTCACCAGACCCTGCCGCGGTCTCCCATTGTCCTTGGCAACCTGCTTTCCCTTCCCCTGGCCTAGCAGCTTACAGGCCCCTCCTAACAGGGTTGTGCTTCTGGTGTGGGGGCCCAGCCCCAACTCTGGTCCCCTTTTGTGCAGGTGCTGGGACTGGTGCGGGTCCCGCTGTACACCCAGAAGGACCGAGTTGGTGGCTTTCCCAACTTCCTGAGCAATGCCTTCATCAGCACGGCTAAGTACCAGCTCCTCTTCGCCCTCAAGGTGCTCAACATGATGCCCGAGGAAAAGCTGGCTGAAGCTGTGGCTGCAGCCACTGAGAAGCAGAAGAAGGCCCTGGAGAAGCTGCTCCCATCTTCTTCCTGAGGTTGCTCCTGTACTGCGTCTTTGCCCTCCCCTGGCTTGTGTTCAGGGCTGAGGGCCCTGAAGTCCTGTGGGAGTGTCTTCTAGCGTGTTTCTGTGTGTGTAACCCTTTCTGACTGCATGGGGCCAGTGGGCATCTTATCATCTCTGCTGCCTCAAGCAGTCACAGGGCCAGGTGGGACCTTCTCAGGTTGGTCAGTGGGTGGCCTGGGGGTGGTGGGCCTGGCTGTCCAGGCTCAGGACATTCTTAACCACCTTGAGGCTCAAACCCACCTGAGAGTCTCATGGGCTGGTGGAGGCACAGGCACTGCCTGATTTTCCAAGTGGGTGGTTGCACAGACACTTAGACCAATGAGAACTTGGTTCTCAAGGGGGGTGCCTTTGGCTCAGTTGACTCATTCCTGCATCCTGCCCTCTGTGCCAGCTTCAGGGCCTAGAGGAGAGCCAGTTTGGGTAGGATGTTGTGCTGTTAATTTTAGCTGTTAGCTTTACTGGCTTAGATTTCCTTTTCTGTGTTGTATGAACTACAGGTGAGGCTTCACTTGACCTCACTGGTGCTTGGTCTCCAAGGGCAGTCAGGGTCATGGGCCCAGCTAATAGGTGGAGTTGTTGAAGGGACAGGAAAGTGGTTCCTCTGCTGCTCTGTTCTTTGGTCCTGACTGCAGGCTCAAGGCAGGGCACAGGAGGTTGTCCCCTTCCTTCTCTCACTACCTAAGACTTAAGGTCAGGGCCAAGTCTAGGCACTGGCCCCACTCAGAGTTATGCTGTCACAGACCTCGTCTGAGGCGGGGTGCTGTCCACCTCCCTGTTCACCTGTGGCACTACCAGCCACGGACCTCTCTGGGCTGTCGGCTTGGTCTGGGCTTCTGTGCTGAGACCGTCCAGAGAGGCCCCTTTTGTGATCCCGGTGGCTGTACCGCTAGGCTGAGCCTGCTGCTCTTTCCTGTGCTTTGAAAGCCTCCCTTTCTCCATTCCCAGTATGGTCTACAGGCAGCTCCCAGAGATGGTCTGGAAATACCCGTCAAGTGTGCAGAATGACAACAGCAGAGCCACCACAGGCAGGAAGGTCACCACTGGCAGTCTCCTATGGCCCCAAGTCTGGCTAAACTCAGTGAAGCTACTGGAAAGTCTCCACAGTGCCTACCCAGCCTAAGAAAAGCGGTGCTCCCTGCCCAGCCTGGGCACCTGTTCCACCTTAGAGCCTTGATGAAGCAGCCACACTGGGCGAAGGCACTCCACTCTGTAAATAAAATACCTGTACTTTGCTCCGCTCTCATTTCCTGGGGCATGGGGTGTGCTTGGCTCTCCAGGTAGCTTCTATTGAATCACGGGGGCTCTGAGCAAAAGCCCTAACTGCTGGGGACCATAGGGCAGGAGGGATCACCAAGTCAGCACCCCCATAAGTACAGTATTCTCTGTCCTGGCGAGGAAGCCTGGGCCCCAGCCAGTCACTGGAGCTGGGGGTCCTGGCATGGCTTTCCCCTTGCTGCTATGTTAGCCAGTACTACATGTGTGACCAGAACTGAGCCCCTCACCAGCTGATCTTACATTTTATTTTCCAGCAAATGACATGCTGCCCAGACGCCCGTCCTCACCCATCAGGGCAAATCTGAGTGGCACCTGTGGTATATGGGGACACCCTCTCTCCCCAAGGTCCTGTCTGCTCTGGGCCTTACCACCAGGTTCAGGGCAAGGCCCTTGTCCTGCTTCTGTGGGGGCCTTGCTGCCTGGAACCAGCCACAGCCTGGTCCTGTCTCTCTGCCAGCTGCTCCCGAGGGCCGATCCTCTGGCCCCAGCTGGGGCCTGGGCTGCTGCAACTGCCCACTCACCGCCCTCCTGTCTTCCGGGCACACAGCTTCAGGGTGGATCAGTCACCCAACGTCAGATTCTGAGAAGGAAAAGGGAGGGCTGAAGTGGGCGTTCCCAGTGGACCCTGCTGTCCCAGATTGGGTCCTGGGCTGATACTCACCATCCCTCAGACTAAGGCTCCCGCCAGTTCTCTTTCCCATTCAGCGTTTGCAGCTTCTCCAGGCCCTGGGTCACCGAGCACAGCACTCGCCCTGAAGATGGGAATAGAGTCTGCTTTGCAAGTGTGGGCAGCAATGGGAAGAAGGGGTGCCTCGGGGGCACTAGGAATGGATGACCTGGAAGGTCAGTAGGTTGTAGTGGGGCTGCCCTAGGGGTCTAAACTTAAGGGCTCTTCCTGTTACTCCTGTCTGGTCCCTGGGCGGGGGCGAGGGTCACTGGCTGCCCTCCCAGAGACTCACCCATCTCATGGACTCGGTCCTCCAATGCTCCCGACAGCTGGGGGAGGCTCAGGGCCTGCAGGGAGGCCTGCCAGCCTTTGGAGTCTATGGGGCAGAAGGCTGGGTGAGCCTGGGGTCTGTGCTCACAGGCCCTGCTTCTGTCCTGAACTGTTGTGACCAGGAGTCCCACCCAATTGTCAGTGCCTGTGTGACCCCCTTGTTACATCAAAACAGGTTCTGCTTGCTTACCCAAAGCAGTAACTGCTGGTCAGGGCCTGGCCCCAGGAATGAAAGCGTGTGTGTGTGTGTGTGTGTGGGGGGGGGGTGTCACTGGCCTCCCATGAGGCTATGCCCTGGGGTGCACCCAGCCTGGGCTTCAACTGGAGGCTGCAGAGGTCACTTGAGGTCTGGGATAGCACAGTCACAATGGCCCAAGGGCTTTGCTTCCAACCACCAGGAGGGACATTAAGGAAATGGGCTGAGGAGGGCAGGGTGCCCTCACCCTAGAGTCTGGGATTGTGTTTGCAAGGGGACCGGGGAGTGTAAATGTGATAACCATTGAGACGTGGTAAAACCCAGCCTGAGGCGGCATCTCTGCCCAGTTCTGGCCCAGGACACTGCTCTCCTTACCAGCTGTAGGGAGGGCTGGGCCTAGGGTGGCCCCCAGAGGGGACTCGTCTTGCTTCACTCGGACTGAGAGCTCAGCCTGACAGGCTCTGCAGAACACAAGACCAAGTGCTGGTAAGGGGAAAGCCTGGCAACTGCCTTCCATGGTCCCAGAGGGCAGGGGACGGCAGACATCCCCACTTTCGAGTGTCCCCACAGCCCACCTTCCTGGGCTTGGCAAGCACCCCCACACCCACCCACACTGACAAGCTCTCGCCCGAGTGAAGGCAGAGAGCTTGTGTGAGGTATGCAGATTTTCATGGCCCTACTTCTGCCTGGTCTACATTGTAGGGAGGAACAGCTAGAATGAAATGGGGTGGGGGGTGGGGAATGGGGGGGCAGGCAAGGAGTGACTCAGGAGGCCCTGAAAGCAAATCCTTGATTGAAGAATCTGGAGGGAACTCGATTAGCTCAGGTGCCTACTCACTGTAGCTGGTCCAGGATGAGAGCAGCATCCTGGGCCAGGGCCCAGGTCTCCTGCAGCTGGGCAAGGATGTCCTTGCGGGTGCTGTCCTGCTCCAGGAGGCAGCTCTCCACCACAGCCCGTAGCTCCTGCTCCTGGGACACCTGGCCCCGCATGGCCTCCACCTCCTCACAGCGCTGGAGAGGGAGAGGTGGAGGTGGGGCTGGCGGGCCGACAGATGGGGCAGGCAGGTGGGCCAAGGATGCAGGAGACACAGGTCCCAGGCCATGGCCGGGAACCACCCCCATCCTCTCTCTGCACCTGTCTCTCTCCTGGAATGGGAGGCCTGTTTCTACCTTGGAGCCTCCCCTGCTCTGGGTCCCTTCCTGTGAGCCCACTGGGGTCCACGCCAGCCTCTTGTTCTCTGGCCTCACCCTCTCTCTTCTCTCCTGTGGATGTCCGCCTGACCTCCACCGAATGGCCCATACCTTTCTGGGCCTTCTTCCTGCGGGCCTGCCTGCTTATCTCCCCGTCACAGTAGGAGCTGTCATGCTTTCTGCCCTCACTGTCCTATCGGTGTCCTTCTCTGCAGGTGTGTGTCTCCAGACACCTCTCTTGCCATTTCTGCATGTCCCCTCCCGCCCCCTGCCTCCCACCTACTTTGTGCAGCTGGATGGCGAGCTCCTGCATCTCAGCCTCCAGCCTATCGGCGTAGGCCAGCTCCAGGGCGTCACTGGGGGGGCGGGCACTGCTGTGCCAGCGGGCAATGGCAGAAGTCATCTTCCTCTTGGGTCCAAACAACCTGTCGGGGATGAGAAAAGAACCTGGATCAGCCTTTGCATGTGCCTGAAAGCTCCACAGACCATGGTTTCCCTAGGAAAGATCCCTGAAGAGGGAGAGTAGCCAGAGGACAGAAACAAAGGGTTGTGAGAAGTGATCTCACTGGAGCCCCCCTGCACCTGGTCCCCTTCCCAGCCGGGCTGCTGCTGTCACTAAGGAGGAAACTAGCCAGCTGGCTCCAGGCTATGTTTGCCAACTTGGAAAGTTCTCAAAAGTGAACAGGCAGAAAGTGTCTGGGTTCCCTGAATACAGCACTGAGCCAGGCCAGCTTGAGAAGCCACAAGACTCAGGCCATGTACGTCTAAGAATGGAGAAGACAGCTGACCTCTAGAGAGGGCAACTCTCTCTCCAAATGTTGGAAAGCTGCAACATCAGACGGTCCCAGAGACAAGGGGCATGCAGCCAGATGGCCCTGGACTCACGTGATGCCGATTTCTTTCAGGTCGCTCTCAGTGAGGGTCAGGAAGATTCGAAGGTCCACGTCCTGTTCCTCAAACAGCTGCAGGTACTTCAGACACCCTATCTGCTCCAACAGTGTGGCAAGGTCCTAGTGGACAGAGAGGCCAGGACAGGTTGGCAAACAGGCAGGTCACAAAGACATGGGGACAAAAAAAGGCACATGATGCAAGGTGGAGCCACTTTTCTCCTGCTGAGTGTGCATTTGTGAGGTCGCTTTTAAAAAATATATATTTTTACTAATTTCAGAGAGGAAGGGAGAGGGAGAGAGAGAAGCACTTATTAGCTGTCTCCTGCATGCCCTCCACTGGGGATAGAGTCCGCAACCTGGGCCTGTGCCTGTGGCCTCTTCGCTCATAGGTCAATGCTCAACCATTGAGCCACACCAGTTGGGCCGTGAGATCTCTTTTAAGGAGGAGATCTGAGCCCTACTGATCCCCCAAGTTCAGCAGTGGGACAGTGACTTGAGTGCAGGCAGAAGCCCATTCTGCCCCTCCTCCCTGTGCCCTCAGAGAGAGAGTAGGGAGTCCAGGGACACTTATTTGTGTCTTTGGATCTAGTGTCTTTTCATTTCAGCTTGAAGGACACCTTTAGTGTTTCCTTGAAGGACAGGTCTGCTAACAACAAATTTTCTTAGACTTTGTTTACCTGGGGATGCCTTAATTTCTCCTTCACTTTTGAAGGTCAGTTTTTGCTGAATATAGCATTCTTGGTTATTTTTCTTTCAGTACTTTGACGATGTCGTCAGATGTCTTTCTGGTTTCTATGGTTTCTGATGGGGAAATTAGCTGTTAATCTTATTGCAAATCCTTTCGGGGTAATGAGTCATTTTTCTTCCTTCAAGATTCTCTTGTGTGTTTTTTTGACAGTTGGATTATGTTGGTCTAGGTGTGGACCTGAGTTAACTTACTTAGAGTTTATTTAACTTCTTGGATGTGCAGATTCATGTTTCTATTAAATTTGGGGAGATTTGGCTATTTTTAAAACATTTTTTCTGCTTTCCTCTCCCTCTTCTCCTGGAACACCATATATGCATGTTGGTATATTTGATGGTGGCTCACAGGTTTCTGCTCATGTTTCTTCATTCTTCTTTCTACTTCTCAAACTGGATAATTTCAGTTGGTCTATGTCAAGTTTTCTGATTCTTCTGTGTGCTCAAATCTGCTCTTGAGCCCCTCTAGTGAAATTTTCATTTCAGTTATTATTCTTTTCAATTCCAGAATTTCTATTTAGTGCATTTTTATTTATATCACTTTCTTGATATTTTCTATTTAGATGTGGTTTCCTTAAGCCCTTGGAACATATTTTTAAAAACTTATTTAAAGTCTTTGTCTAACTAACAAGTCCAATGTCTGGACTTCCTCAGGGACAGCTTCTCCTATTGCCTTTTCTCACTATTTATTAGTTATTCTTCCTTGTTCTCTGCATACATTTTTTCTGTTGAAAACTGGACATTTTCATGAGGCAGCTCTGGAGATCTAATTCTCCTCCCTCTGGGGTTTGTTGTCTGTATTCTTTCTGGTCTGTGGCTACTGAAGTCTCTACTCAGTTAGCTTAGTGATCAGCTGAGGGCTGGACAGAGATCTCCTAAACACCAAAACCAATAAATCTCCCAGTCTTTGCCCAACAGCTCTGTGTGCTTGTTGGGGCACATGTTCAGCATCAGCCAGGCAGATGACAATGCTGGCCCAGCCTCTGCTTCCTGCTTGCTCAAAACCCAAGATCATCGGGGGTACTCTCAGGTACTCTTGACCATACACAGCCCTGAGCACATATGTGGCTGCTTAGATTCCCAGGATAAGTCAGAGCTTTTCAAAGCTCCTATGGACATCTCCTTCCCCAGATTTTCCTTTTAAGCTTTGTGGTTAATCTTTCACCCAAGCTGTTATCCAATACCTCAGACAGCTGCAAAATCAAAACATTTCCCCGTATGATTCTCAATACACGTCCTCCAACGAGAGGACTTTTGGTGTTGAGTAGATAAGCCTGAGTCTTACTAGTATAATACAGTCTTGTAATAAGCATGTCTTCAAGGGAACCATCAGATAGTCTAGTAATGCCAATTCTTTGGAATGAAACTCCGAAAGCACTCCAGCTCTGCTCTACCCGCTCCAGTGGCTGTCACAGCTACTGTGGCATTGGAGAGTGGAAGAATTGAACTAGGGCAAGTTAAAATGCTAACAGCTCACAGTTCTCACTGAGAGTCGGTCATTTCTCTTGAATAAACACTCTCCAGGCTGCTGCAAGCCTTTAGTTTGAATCACAAGTTTCTGGGGGAAAACTGATTCTGGCCACTTTTGCCAGTTTCAATGTTGCCTTTATAGAGGAGCAAATTTTCAAAAGTTGTTACTCCATCATTTTCTTCAACCTACTTTCTGAAACAGCTTTTAAGATTCCAACAACTCTCCAATCAAGATGCATTTAAGGACTTGAGTGGTGCAGCTGCTTGCAGAAGCTGGGAATACAGGCCCTGGAGATAGCTCCCAGGGGATGGGGTGGGGCAAGGAGAAGCCAGCAAAATCATAGGCTTCTAGTGAACAGAAGAGCTGTGACTTGAATAAATGGCAAGTACTCACCTGTATTTCATCTTGTATCACCTATGCCCACTGAGGGCAAGAGAACTAGATAAACACACATTAGACAGTTGAGCTGCTATGTCACACCTGTAAACCCCAAGATACCGCTTAGCCAGAGGGACCCATAATGAGGAAGGCAGAAACAGCAATTTTCATTACGTACATACTACGTGCCACTTTGTCTCTGCAACTCCTGAAAGCTCAGGGGGGCTGAGTCAAGTATGGAAATGAGCATGGTAACCAAAGGGAGAGACAGATCTCTCCTAAGGGAAGGGACAGGTATAAACGCTCCCACCAGCACTTCTGACCTTAGGAATCCTCTTAGCCCAAGAAGGTTTACAGGTCATTTGGGGAAGAGCCACCACACTCTCTTAACAGTGGTTGGCCCACTGTAAGCACACAATAAATACCTCACAAATCACAAAGAGTGTAACCACCAGTTTCACAAAGGTTTTACCTGGGGTCCTGAATAGGGGAACCTCTCAGTCTGGGGGGTAGATCCTGGGGAACAGGCCGCCCCGGAAGTCCCAGTGCTGGGAGGCCATTGGTTGTCACTGTTGCTGTAGCGATTCTTGGTCTTCATATAACTTTTAGTTTGCTTGCGAGCTGAGCTTTTGCGTGCATTATCTGAGTCCTGTGGCAAGAGGTATGTGTGCTTAACACTGAAAGACTGATCATCAGGGAAACACAAGTTAAAACCACAATGAGCTATCACCTCACACCGGTCAGAAAGGCTATCATCAATAAGCCAATAAAGAATGTTGGTGAGTAAGTGGAGAAAAAGGAACCCTCAGACACTATTGGTGGGATTGTAAATTGGTGCAGCCAATACGGAAATTTCTATAAAAATTAAAAATAGAGCTGCCATATGATGTAGCAATTCCCTGTTCTAAGTATTTATCTGAAGAAAAAAAACCCTAATTCGAAAATATATATGCACTCCTATATTCACTGCAGAATTACTAATAAATAGCTGAGATATGGAAGCAACCTAGGTATTCAACAGATGAATAGTTTAAAAAGATGTGGTACATATATACAATGGAATGTTACTCAGCAATAAAAAAGAATAAAATCTACCTGGCCGGTATGGCTCAGTTGGTTGAGCATCATCCCATGTACCAAGAGGTCACCAGTTCGATTCCCGGTCAGGGCGCATGCCCTGGTTGTGGGCTTGATTCCCAGTAGGGGCCATGTGGGAAGCAGCCAATCAATGTTCCTCTTTCATTGATGTTTCTATCTCTCCCTCTCCTTTCCTCTCTCTCTAAAAAGAAAAAACATATTTTAAAAAATAAAAAAAGAATGAAATCTTGCTATTGGTAACAATATGGATGGACCTAGAGCAGCGGTTCTCAACCTGTGGGTAGCGACCCCTTTGGTGGTCGAACGACCCTTTCACGGGGGTCGCCTAAGACCATCCTGCATATCAGATATTTACATTACAATTCATAACAGTAGCAACATTACAGTTATGAAGTAGCAACAAAAATAATTTTATGGTTGGGTCACACATGAGGAACTGTATTTAAAGGGCCAGAAGGTTGCCCTAACCGGTTTGGCTCAGTGGATAGAGCATCGGCCTGTGGACTCAAGGGTCCCAGGTTCGATTCTGGTCAAGGGCATGTACCTTGGTTGCAGGCACATCCCCAGTAGGGAGTGTGCAGGAGGCAGCTGATCGATGTTTCTCTCATCGATGTTTCTAACTTTCTATCCCTCTCCCTTCCTCTCTGTAAAAAAAAAAAATCAATAAAATATTTAAAAAAAAAATAAAGGGCCAGAAGGTTGAGAACCACTGACCTAGAGGATATTATGCTAAGTAAAGTAAGTCAGAGAAAGACATATCATATGATTTCACTTAATACATAACTCCAAAAACAAACAAAACAGAACTACAGATTTAGAGAACAAGCTAATGGTTACCAAAGGGGAGAGGGGTGGGGAAATGGGAATAAAAATAAAGGCCCTGGTCTGGTGCGGCTCAGTGGTTAGGAGTGTTGGCCAGAACACCGAAAGGCAGAAAGTTCGATTTCTGGTCAAGGGCACATACCTGGGTTACAGGTTTGGTCCCTGGCCCAAGTTGGAGTGCGTGTGAGAGGCAACCAATTGATGTGTCTCTCTCACATCAATGTTTCTCTCCCCCATCTCTCCCTCCCACACTCTATAAAAATCAATGGAAAAAATATATCCTTGGGTGAGGATTAAAAGAAAAAATGGGTGGAGGAAGAGTGCATGAGCCTTGGGGTCATCTAGAGCTGGGTTCATATCCCAGCTCTGTTACTAAGTAGTTGTGGAACCTTGGACAAATCCCTTACAGAAAAATAGAACCACAACAGAATTGCTCAAAAAATAAAGTAACACTGAAAGTCTTGCAGCTGACGTGGCTGCATCCAAACTGCTCTCTGCCCCATGATTCCAGCTTCTACTCTCAATCTGGGCCACTTCCCTCACAATGGAGGTAAGATTTGAAACTCCCCCACCTGCTACACAGAGGCTTCCTGAGGTCACCCAATCCCAGGCGGTTCTAGAGAGTGGCCCTGAACCTTGTATGTCCTAACACAGCACAGACATGCATTAAGTCCTTGTTATGAGACTTGCCCGTCTCAAATGAACTGTTCGCCTCCCCCATGACACCAAAACAGGGGAAGGAGATGAGAGGTAAGGAATAAGGAGAGGCCTCACCTCATTGCTCTCCAAAGAGGCCTCGCTGCTGACTCCCGGGGCTCTCGCCAGGCCCTCGCTGCTGCTGCTGCTCCGCACAGCCCCAAGGTGGGCACAGAAGGCCTGCTCTTCTGCCAACAGTGAAGACAAGGACGCCTGACTATAGGTCGCGCACACAGTGACTCCCCAGAGCCTGAGCTGTTTCACCCACAGCCCTCATCAACTCCTTAGTTTACTGTGTTTCATGCTGACTGCCTGGCCGACCCCTCCCCTCTACACACACGGACAGCGTTTTTGTCTGTTCTGTTCACTGGTAAACCCAAGCATTTAGAACAATGACTGGCACACAGGGCACTCAGTAAACAGCTGCTGAATGGACGATACATGTATTATAGCAAAGACATACCCTTTGCGATCACCAATCAAGAAGCTAAACCTGTCGAGAACAACTCCCCCAGACCCTGCACACAGGCACAGAGACGCTGGCTGGAAGCTGCTTCTCTCTGGGCCATGCCCAGAGCCAGGGAGGAAAGTCTTTCTGTCTTTCACACTCTCCTTCTCTACCAGACAGACTCATCACAGCATGCGAGCCCCAGCAGGGTGGGGAGGGGTGGCACACATACCCCGGCTGCTGCTGCTGCTGCTCTCCACGTCCCGGTCGTTGATGGGGGAAGTCACATCCCGGTAGCAGAAGCCCCTTCCCTCCAGGGGGTTCTCATCACTACTGTTGAAGGTGACATAGCCCCGTGGAGGCACCTGCTCTGTGAACAGAATGGGGCGCATGAACCCACACGCACAAAAGGGAAAACAAGTACCTTCTTCCCAACGTGACCACCTGCCCAGAGGGACCTCAGCATAAGGGAAGAGCAGGATCTAGGCAGGCAGGAAGGAAAATCGTATCTTCCTGGTCATGACCTCACCACTCGCCACAGTAACCTGGACATAATGCCATGTGCAGTTTGCAGGCGAGGAGGCAGGCTCCGAGGAGCTGAGAGACAATCCTGTGTCCCACAGCAAGTGCACGGTGGAGTCAAAGCCCTGGTCGAGCCTGGTGCCCTCTCCCACACTATGCTATTTCTTTTCCAAATGAAAAAGAAGGAAATGGGTCATCATGGGAGTCGACATCTGCCACAACATCAACAAAGACTGAAAGGTTCGGCACAAGGAGCCCAAGATCCAGGACATCTTCCTAAGGCTGTTGGCCAAGCTATACAGGTTTTTGGCCAGACAAACCAACTCCACCTTCAGCCTGTGGTGCTGAAGCGGTTGTTCGAGTCGCACCAACAGGCCTCCTCTGCCCCTTTCCCGGACGGTCCGGAAGATGAAGCTTCCAGCCTGGAAGGTGCCCAGACTGGAGGTGTGTGCACTCAGTGTGAGCAGCGCTCCTGCAGCCGCATCCTTAAGGCCAGGGGCAAGGTCCTCACCTTCGACCAGCTGGCCCTGGATTCCCCCAAGGGCTGTGGCCCTGTCTTGCTTTCTTATGCATGCAAGTGCCTCGGAGAGTACAGGCATTTCAACAAGGCCCCAGGAATCCCTCACAGCCACACCAAACCCGACATGCGATTCAAGGGCTGGAAGTTCAAATGTGCAAGAGGCTGACAGGTTAGCTGCAGCTACAAAAAAAATAACCGCAGATCCTATCTTGTAATTAAGAAGATTTTGGATGCAAAAAAAAAGAGAGAGTAGGAAATGGTAAGCTGTGTTTACAGATTCCTGAGCCAAGGAAAAAGTGTACCTTTTAGCTGGAAGCATCTAATCTCACATGCCAGCCTTTATGGTCCCTGGCATCTAAGGGGCACAGGCATCTAAGAGTTTTTTCCCTCTTTGGGTCAGTCAACCCCAGTCAAAAATAGATCTGGCTAAGCAGGAAGGTTGGAGGCCCCAGGCTAAAAATTAACTATAGTAACACCAAATTATACAACCTCTGGACGGATCTGCCTGCAGGAAAACAAGGAGAAAAGGCAGAACACAAACCACAGAGGTCCATTCCCATTTTGCCTGCCCCTTGCCCACAGAAAGTACATTTATTTGCATAAAACAGACCGGCTAACAAAGCCTTTATACCTTTTTGTAATTATCAACGCTTTTTAAAATCTGCACATTATTTTAAAATGTTCTTTAATTGTTGGCAAAGCCTACATGTACCGATAAAAAATGTAAATATCACAAGTTGTAAGAAGAAAACTCGCCTGAAATGCCACAATCAAGTCAACTACCATCATTATTTTGATGAACATTCTTCCAGCCTTCTCTGTGGGTGCATAAAAAGAATAGTGTACAAATGGACTTCAGCCATGGATTATTTTGATAACCTGAAAGAATTCCATTTAATAAAAGCACCTGTCGTATAGCTACACAGATTAATTACACCCCACCTCCAGGGAAGGCGCGCGCTTCCCATGCCCCTACCACATCTCAGGGTGGAACAGGTGGCAGGGACTCCTCAAAAAGGAACAGACTCTGCCACTCAAACTAAAACAAGTGGGCCAACTGTCCCAGTGCCATGTGCTTATAAGCACACCAGACAGGAAGGGTATGAACTGCCCTCATCCTGCACAAGGAGCTTGCCAGCAGCTAGGGGAGGGCCTTTCCCTGTGGCCAGTCAGCCCACCCCCCAAGGACAACAGGAGAAGGCAGGCCTCCAGTTCCCAACCTAGGACTCCTTCCAAGCGTCTTATAAGGAAATCAAGTTACTAACATACTCCTGACTGAAATATGCTCTCCTCTGACTGGGAAAGTTGGTTTCTTCCAAGCTCAAGGGGGGAGTCTGTTCATGAGGAGGACCCACCTACCCAGCCCACAAGACCAGCACTTGGCCTGGCCACTGATGGGTGATAGACATCAATGGAAGATGTAACTTGTACATAAGTATGATCACTTGGTCAGGCCAGTGAGCATAAAACCCAACTTGCTCCAAGAACTATTGGCACCTCCCGCACTCCCCAAGGGCACTGCACTCAACATTTAGGAACTGACAATTGGAGAATAAACTCGGGAGGTCTGGAAACTTGGGGTCTAGGATTCCAGCCCACTAAGTGCATCACATAACAATTCTCAGAAGGGTCTGAGCATCAGACCCATCACCTGAGAAAAGAGCAAGAGAGAGTCCTTGGCCTGGCCCAGAGGCACATCCATCTCCAGCCACAAATGTGTTAAGTATCACACCAGGTGCTGTAGCCAGAGACGGGAAGTGGGACTCAAGTGGCACCCTGTTCCTGCACTAGCTGACTCACTATGTGATGAATCAAATCTGAGCATAGTGACATTTCTGCTGCTGGTATTTGTAATTTTAACCCATGAAAAGAAAACTCAAAGGATGAACACAAACCAAGAGCTAGCCATTGACTAATATATTTCTATCACTGTCGTCAATTTGGAATCTTTGAGCTGCTGCTCCAACCCAGTGGCCCACATTTTGGAAACCTGAGAGTTGTGCCTTTTCATCCAGACAGAATGCGTGAACGAAGTATCAAAAAGCCATCAGGAAACACGGAATGCTCACCATAGCAAGACGGCTGGATCTTGCCTCCAAGTCCAATGGCTGTGATCCTCGCCAAGGCCCGAGGCCCCTCATGGATGCTGAGGCCCTTCTTCCGACAGGGCCTCTGTCTCTGAGGAGCAGGGCAGGATTCATCTGAAGAGCTGAGATCTTCATATTTTTCTGTGGGTCAAACACAAAAGTTAAGACAATTGTCCAGTCTGTCCAGTGAGGCTCAGTTGGTTGAGCATCATCCCATGCACCAAAAGGTCGCCAATTCAATTCCCAGTCAGGGCACACACCCAGGTGTGGTTCGCTACCCTGTCAGGGTGCATGCAGGAGGCAGCTGATCGATGTTTCTCTCTCACATAAATGTTTCTCTCCCTCTCTCTTCCTCTCTCGCTAAAACCAATAAAAATATATTTTAAAAAATTTTTTCCAGCGAGGGACTAATTTACTAATTTTCATAGTAAACTGAAAGACAATCACCATAACTGGTTTTCTTAAATCAAGAAGCAGAAAAGTTTCCCAGGACTTCATGTGTAAGAAATGCCATAACGGGATTTACGGTCAAGATGGTGGAGAATACTGAATGTCAACTATAATTGAACATTTTTTTTAATTTTTAAAAAAGATAATTTTTTTAAATGCCATAATGGGCCAGTCCACTGCTCAGATGGGCTAGGGGGACATTTGGGGGAGCAGCAAGCTTGCTGAGTATGAGCTGAACTGAAAGCATCTGTCATGAGGGGGAGTCTCGTTCTTATTTCTTATACCTCTCACTGTCTGGGTTTGAAGAATTTTTTGTAACAAGCATGTATTATGTTTACAATCTGAAATAAATTTTGTTCTAAGTTGAAGAGATTAATATCTGTTCATAAACATTCTGAGCATCGTGACTTCTTAGCAATTTTATATTGTCAATCTCGATAACTTCTTAGGAAACCAGCTGTGTGTGCTGTTTTAGGAAGCATTTCAAATTGCCACTCATCTGAGCTTAAATGTTGAGCGTACCCCACAGACATTACTGCTTTACTGCTGCTCATAGTTTTTTGTATTTCATCACACCTAAAGGCACAATTCATGGATCTACTGGTATCAGGCTCCCACCTGATACGATCTATTCAGAGTTGATAAGCTGGGGTGGAGATGTGGAGAAGTCGCTGATTACCACTGTGAGCTGGTGTTTGTTACAAAACAATCCTGAGGCCAGGAAGAGAGCTGGGCAGAGCCAGACCCTGGAAAGGGGGCAGGTTCCCTCAGATGTGAACTGAGAGCTCAACTCTCAGAGACAGCCTGGCAAGTCAGGGAGTTACTGACCCTGGTTCCAAACTTGGGCCAGTGACTCAAGTGAACCACTCCCACCGTTCCCTTTTCAACTCACTGGGAGACCATGGTCATGCCCAAGCAGAACATGGAATCACAAAAATAAGTGTACATGGGAGGGGAACCAAGGAAAAGGCAGCTCCGTGAATCTAAACCTCCCAACACGCACTCTCAGACCTGCACACGTCAGCGGGAACCACAGAGAGAATCTCACAAATCCCACACCTTCAACGTGACCTAGATGGCAGAGAGCACTGCAAACTTCAAAGTTCCTGCTGCTGCAAGGAGCAGGCAAGTGACCCTTTCCAGCAAAAAAGAACCGACTTACTCACCTCTATTCTCTGTGGGCAACGCGGCAGATCTAGGAAAAACCACACAGAGGAGAGATGACGGGGAAGACAAAGTCCACTCCGTGGGCAAAAATGCTGAAAAAGAATCCTGGTGGAGTGGAGCATGAGCCGGGGAAGTGACCTAAGAATGCACATGGGGCCTGAGGAACAGTCAGAGGAGCAGCAGGCCTTTTGGGGAGGGAGGCCTCTGGAAACTGGGTAGTGAAGAGAAAAGCAACCAGGGGAAGTTCAGGATCTGGCAAAACAAAATAATATCCAAGGACACATAATGCTGGGTCCAACCACATCCCACTCCAAAAGAGGCCACCAGTAAGAAGACTGGCCTTGGCACTGGGAGAAGGCGGCTCCTGGGCCAGGACTCACACACTAGCCAGGCCACTAAGCTCTGTCCGTGAAATGCAGACGCACCAGCGATCTTCGCCGACACACCAATACCACAGGGAGCACATAAACACAGGACTCAAACACACAGCAAGTAAAAACATTCCTTCCCTCTCTCCAAAACTCAGCCGAGGAGTAGGCAGAAAAACTGTGACATGACACTCTGAACTATACATCCTTCCACAGCACCTGAGGACAGGAAAAAGCACCCTGAATCCAAAATCCAAAATTCGAAACTGAGAGCAAAAAGGCAATATTATTTATGAATGAGTAGCCATACAAAACACTAAATAAAATAACAGCAAACAGAATCCAACACCACGTTAGGAAAATAATACGCCAACTAGGATTTATGCCAAGAATATAAACTTGGTTCATTATTAGGAAATTCATTAATAGAATACATGTTAATAGACCTAAGGAGAAAACTCCCAAACATCTCCATAGATGTTGAAAAAGCCTTTGACAAAATTCAACACTTATTTCTGTAGAAAACACTCAAGGAAATGACAGATACTTTAATATTAAAAAAATATGCACATCTAAAGGAGAGGAAATGGGGGACATCCGTAATACTGCCAACAATAAATAAATTTAAAAAAATACACACACACACACAGAGCCCTGGCCAATGTGGCTCAGTTGGTTGAGTGCTGTTCCATGTACCAAGAGGTCATCAGTTCCATTCCCAGTAAGGGCACATGCCTGGGTTGCTAGCTCGATCCCAAGCAGGGGGTGTGTAGAGGCAGCCAATTAATGTTTCTCTCTCATATCGATATTTCTCTCTTTCTCTCTCCCTCTCCCTTCCTCTCTCTCTAAAAATCAAACACACAAGCATACACACACACACACACACACACACCTTACTCTTAAGTCAGCATCTTACTTAATGTGGCATTTTTGCTAAGGTCAGGACTCAGTAACTGTCCACTGTCTCCACGTTGTACTAGAAGTATTAGCCAATGAAACTAAACAAACAAAATCAGAGGTATAAAAATCAGAAAGAAGTAGTAAGTCTATCACTATTTGCAGATTATATGGGAATATACCTGGAAAACCCTACAGAATCAATAAATAAAACTAACTCAAACAATGAAATAACTGAGTAAGGCAGAAGAATATAAAAATTGTATACAGACATCAACAGCCTTCATATTCACAGACAATAAGCAGTTAGAGGATATGATGGTAGTGGATCCCCATTTACAATAGCAACAAAGTAAACCACACACTTAGGAATATACTTAAATTATATGCAAAACATAACGAGGAAAAATTTCGCACCCTCTGCAAGACACAAAAGTATACTTGAACAAAAAGCACACTCCTTTTGTTAGATGGGATGCCTCAACATAAAGGGATAGTTAATTTATAAGTCTGCCAAAATCTTAATGTCAACATGCTGTTTTTAAGGAGCTAGGCAAGCTGATACTCAAGTTCACACACACACACAAAATGAAACCATGTCAGTACTAGAAGAAAACATGGATGAATTCTTGTACAACTAGGGCACAGGGAAAGATTTTTTTTTTAAATCCTCATCCGAGGATATTTTTACCATCGATCTTCTTAAAAATATATATTTTTTATTGATTTCAGAGAGGAAGGGAGAGGGAGAGAGAGATATAAATCAATGATGAGCTGCCTCCTGCACGCCCCATACCAGGAATCGAACCCACAACTCAGGCATATGCCCTGACCGGGAATCAAACATGACTTCCTAGTTCACAGGCCGATGCTCAACCACTGAACCATGCTGGCTGGGCTCCACTGATCTTTAGAGAGAGAGTGAAAGGAAGGGAGAAGGGGTAGAGAGAGAGAGAAACATCAGTGTGAAAGATACATCAAATGGTTGCCTCCTGAACATGCCCTAACCAGGGGGGCCAGGATGGAATATACAACCAAGGTACATGCCCTTGACCAGAATTTGAATCTGAGACTCTTTGTTGCTTGGGCCAACACTCTAACCACTGAGCCCACTGTCCAGGGCAGAGAAAGATTTTTATAACTCAAAATCCAGAGGAAAGAAGATTGATGTATTCGACTACGTAAAATTAAAACATTTTGCACAGCAACAAACACCATAAGAAAGTCAAGAAACAAGAACCAGAAGCCAGTCCCCTTGTGAGGCTGCCCTCCTCCATCTGGGTGGGCATCACAAGTCCACATCCTGGGTACCCGAATTCAGCCTGGTGGGTATACCTCTACACCCTAACTAACTAGTCCTCAGACAAGCAGCCCTCAACTCTGACTGCAAAATGGAGTCGTCAGGGGAGGCAGAGCTCTGGCAAGGCTGCAGGAGCCAAATCTCTTAGTAGGTGAGAGCAGGGGGAGGGACTTCAGGAAAGAGTGAGGCCACAGATACAGGTACCTGGGCTCCGATAGAGGCTCTTGGGCAGAGAAAGCGAGTGAGCATCGATCAACCCCACTATCTTCATGTGTCCATACTGCTTGGCCAGCATTCGGGCTGTGGCTCCACTGTGGTCTCTCGTGTCCACTTTGACTCCCTATGAAAATGGTAAAAGAACAAGAGTTAGGAACCTCCCCTGCACAGCACCCTCACTTCCAGGGCTGTGGACCCAGGATGAGAGGTGCAATGGCGTCTTCTCACCATCTTGGAAAGGTCTGCACCAGGGTCCTCTACAACCTCATAATGTGGGGAGAAAAGGCAAGGGCCTGTGTGGTCTCATTCTCAATGCTGAAAGTCGGGGTACAGTGAGGGGCTTGCTGGCTTGTCAAATAAGACATTAACCCAGCCATCTCACAGCTGAGGCAGCTCTCCAGGCTCATCGCCTGTTGGCTTTCAGCCGCCGGGGGGCAGGCAGACAGTTAAATAAGAGAGGCGATCAGGTGCTCCGGGCGAGGATGCTCTCAGGCTGCTGTGAGCGAGAGCCCGCCTTCACCCTTCACACCGGGCATGTGTCCACCTCGCTTCATTCTCTTCACACAGAAAATTGGAGACAACATTTTGGTAAGAAGCAGCCTTTAAAAGCATAATCAGAATAAGAGCCCCACTCTTCTGAAACAGAATTTGGTAATTTTATCCTAAGCCCTAAAAGTACTTATTCTATACAGCACTGTAATTACACTTCTGTGACTCTAAACTAAGGAAATAGCCCCAAATACAGAGAAAGCTTTTACGCACAAAGATGTTTAGCACAACATATTTGCGATAACGAAAACCCAGAGACAACTTTAATGCTCAGAGATGGAGAGTTCACTATGTTACCGTCATAAAAATAATTGGTAGAACCAAATTTTTAAAAGAACCAGGAGACAAAACTGTATACACATTCCAATCGCAGCAAAACAAATAAGTATACAGAAAGCACTACTGGAAGGAAATATACCCAAACTGTTAATATTATTTTTAAGTAGTGAGATAATGGGGACTTCTCACATCTTTCTTTTATACTTTCTAAACTTATTTCTATGAGCATGTTTACTTTTGAAACTAGAAAAGCCCAATAAACCTTCCATTTTCAAAGCTCCAACCGTGCGGTCTCGTATCTGCAGATGAGACTACAAGGTATTGGAGCTCAGTGCTCTGGAGGGCATATCAGCAAGAGAAAGTTAAAACATTAAAAGTGCACATACCCTTCCCTGGCTGGTGGCTCAGTTGGCTGGGCATCATCCCATGCACCAAAAGGTTGCCAGTACGATTCCCGGTCAGGGCACATGCCCAGGTTGCGGGTTCCATCCCTGGTCAGGGCATGTAAGGGAGGCAACCGATCAATGTTTCTTTATCACATCGACGTTTCTCTCTCCCTCCTCTCTTTCTAAAAATCAATAAACATCCTCAAGTGATGACTGAAAAAAGACAATTTCTAGAGGGGAAGGGAGAACTGGGTGAAGGTGGTCAAAAGGCACAAACTTTCAATTATAAAATAAAAAAAATACTAGGCATGTAGTGTACAACATGGTGACTATAGTGAACACTACTGTATGATGCACAGGGAAGTTGTTAAGAGAGTAAATCCTAAGAGCTCTCATCACAAGTTAAAACACAGAGCCCCGGCCTGTGTGCTCAGCCTGCACACCACAGGGTCTCGGGTTTAGTTCTCCGTCAAGAGCTCGTACCTGGGTTTCAGGTTTACTCCCCACCCTATCTGGGCGTGTGCAGGAGGCAACCAGTTGATGTGTCTCTCTCACATCAATGTTGCTTTCTCTTTCTCTCTTTCTCCTCCATCCCCTCCTGCTCCTCCCTCCCTTCCTCTCTTGCTGAAAAGCAATGGAAAAAAATATCCTCAGGTGAGGATTAACACCCCCCACAAAATACACAGGGCAGGGCAAAAGTGGGTTGACAGTTGTGAGTACATAAAACAGAGTTTATTCTTGTATCACTATTCATTAATTATTTTATTATTTTCCATATGAACAACTGTAAACTTACTTTTGTCCTACCCCAGTGATGGCGAACCTTTTGAGCTCGGCGTGTCAGCATTTTGAAAAACCCTAACTTAACTCTGGTGCCGTGTCACATATAGAAATTTTTTGATATTTGCAACCATAGTAAAACAAAGACTTGTATTTTTGATATTTATTTTATATATTTAAATGCCATTTAACAAAGAAAAATCAACCAAAAAAATGAGTTCGCGTGTCACCTCTGACACGCGTGTCATAGGTTCGCCATCACTGTCCTACCCATTATGTTAGCAACTTATTTTCATAATCTATACGAGATGATAGATGTTAACTGAACTTACTGTGGTAATCACTTCACATATACATAAGTCAAATCAACTTATACAGTGATATATATCAATTATCTCAAAAAAACTGGTGGGGGAAAAATATGATTTCCACTGAGCCAAACCGGTTAGGGCTGATTTCTAGTTTCAGTTTGATAAAAGAAGCCCAAAGGTTTCAACCAGAACCAACAATACTATCTTCACGGTAGGGTTTTACCTAGTACCTGTTATTAAGCCTGGAAGACTTCAACCTCAGGCTACACCAAAGCAATACTATTCCTTAACAAGAAATGAGGAAAAAAGGAGACACAAGAACAAGAAGGCCCCTGAGGTGAGGAAAGAGAATATTAGAATTTCTATCTATTTACCCTTTAAATGTTTTCCCAACTTTCTTCCTATTTTATAATATACATAAATTATAGGAAAATTACATGATCAACATTCATTGTAACTGACAGGAAAGCGGGATCAAAGTTTAGAGGCCACGGACCAGTCGTAACGTGTGTGCACTCATCAGCTGGAGGGCCACTGGATCAACTCTCAGCTCCCTGAGAGGCCCAAACGCACCCCATCATCCTGCCCAGACTGAGCTGCTGGAGTCAGCCCCCACTGGGAAGGGACAAGGGGTGCAAGGGAAGCAGCCACAGTCCTTTCCTCCCCTGGCGAGGAGTCTGAGGTGCCTGGCCTCATCCACTTCTCCATCTCCGAGAAAGAAGCCTGGCTCTGGTGGGACCTGGTGGGCCCACCCGTCTGGCTAACCATGACGCAGCAGGAGATCTGCAAGGAACACGGAGTGGTCATACAGGGCTAGCCAGGCAGCCTCCCCAGCAGTGGAGCAAACTGGTCCAATAGTCACATGCTCTGAGCCGTGCCCACCGGCCACCACAGCCAGAGGCAATTGCTTGAAATTGGCCAACAACTTTGCTGATTAGTGAGCTCAAGGAAGAACTCCATTGATTTCCTGAGTTTGATAATGTATGCAATTATGAAAGAAAAAAATCTTGTTTTTAGGAAATACATATGAAAGTAGTTAGGGGCATTATGTTAGCAACTTATTTTCAAATAATTTTTAAAAGATTATACGTATGTAGTCTGACTGGTACGGCTCAGTGGTTGAGTATTAACCTATGAATCAAGAGGCCATGGTTCAATTCCCAGTCAGGGCACATGCCCGGGCTGGGGGCTCAATCCCCAGTGTGGGGAGTGCAGGAGGCAGCTGATAAATGATTCTCTTTCATCATTGATGTTTCTGTCTCTCTCTTCTTCTCCCTTCCTCTCTGAAATCCATGAAAAGATATTTTAAAAAATATTATATGTATATATATTGAGAGATATGAAATGTTAACACTGGGGAATCTAGCAAAGGTACATAAATTCTGAGTACTATTTTGTGATGTTTAAGTCTGAAATTAATTCAAAGTTTAAAATTTTTTAAATTTTCCAAAAGAAATCCAATACAATTTGTTTTCCCTGAGTACGAGTTGCCCATACACAGTCTCAGACCCAGCTGGGGAGTAAATAATCTGCACGATAGATAAATGATATAAGGTCTCTGATTTACCAATACGTTTTCTGTTTAAAACCTACATGAGTAACTGTCTCTTACAATTTTCAGTTCTACATTATTTAAAATCAGAGTCTAAACTAACTCAGAAGCAGAGGTTATGCTTCTTACAGTTCTTGGCTCATCTATTTTTCTTTGTGCCCATCTATTCTTGATCCTAGGCTATGTCTTAAGGATCCTAGTCTGTGTGATGAGGCTTATCTTCAAAGAATAATTATTTGTAGAAAAGGAAGCCCAAATGGCTAACATATGAAAAGATGCCCCACCTCACCAGAAATCTGGAACATAAAAATCAACAGGAGACAGCTTGTCTGATACCACGTAGCAGGTGTCACTGAGGGTGTGAGAGGCAAGAGCTATAAAATACTATGGAAAAGTGTAAACTAGAACAACTATGGGAGAAAGCAAGTTAACACTCTCTAGTGCAGATGCACCCACCGTACACACCGAAGTTCTACGTTGAAGATTACATCCTGATCTCCTAGAGAAATCTATTCACACATGCTTGAGAAGACAGGCAAGAAATGTAAACTGCAGCACTGTTAGGAATAGCTAACACCACTTAAATGTCCACTAAAAAAGGAAATGATAAACATATTTATACAGTCAATAAGTACAGAGCTGTTAAAATGAGTGAATGATGTCTAATTTACCGACACTGTTGAATGACACATACAATCTGGTATGTTATTTATATGAATCTTTAAAATATATAAAAACAAGTCCGTGCATTGCTAAGGACACACAGTATGTGATGAAAGGATCAAAATCAGAGACAGGAAAGGTACAGACCAGCATCTGGATAGTGGTGATCTCTGGATCATGTGGGTTAGTTGCATTATCTTCTGTGCTTTTTTACATGTTTAAAGTACTTCACAATTTAAGATTCATAATTCTTGCTGCTGTGGAAAGAGTGTCAGTTGGTACAACTTGCTCTTCGGATGGCAATTTGGCAACATCCATGTTAATTTAAGACTGTACTTACTCTTCAATCTTGCACTTTTAGTACTGAACTGTACAGAGGTGGTTGCACACATGTGCAGAGATATATGTGCACAGATATTCTCAAAGCAATGTGCATAATAGCAAATGGTTGGCAACAATCCAATTCTATCTAGACCACTTTAAAGAAATTGATTCATCCCTACAAGGGAGTACGATGCCACACACACAAGAAAAAAGCTTTATATGCTGATACAAAACAATATCCAGGATAGACAATTAAGTTAAAAAAAAAAAAAAGGCAAGTTGGGGATTAGCCACAGGAAGAGTGACCAAGAAACTGAGGCAAAGGCCAGAGGCAGGCTCACTGTCTATCTTCTGTCTCATCTGCATTTTTACCATGTAAATGTACTATCCCCAAATCGGATAGAGTGTCAGCCTGCAGACCAAAGGGTCCTGGGTTCGATTCTGGTCAAGGGCACATATCTCGGTTGCAGGCACTGGTCGGGGCACATGCAGGAGGCAACCAATCGATGTGTTTCTCTCACATCAATATTTCTGTCTCTCCCACTCTCTCTAAAAATCAATTGTTAAATATCCTCTGGTGAGGATTAAAAATAAGTAAGTAAATAAAAAGATGTTAACATTTTATTATTCTAAAATTCCCACCAATAAGTAAGAAAAACCCCCCACAAACTATACAATAGAAAATTGGGCCCAAAATATAAAGAGACAATTCATCAAAGAATTACAAATGGCCAATATACTTTAAAATGTTCAACCTCATTAGCAAGTACAAACCAAAACTAGATGCCACTCTTCTCCCACCAGATTGGAAAAAAATTTAAGGTGGGTAACCTCCCATCTTAAGGGCTGGTGAGAAAATGAGCACCTTTGTATATTATTGGTGGAAAGGACTATAGAAACAACTTTTCAGTGGGAATTTAGTGCTTTATATATAAACTAAATATTTCTCCTACTGGATTTTTAAAACAACTTTATTAAAATACAATTCACATACTATGCAATTCACCCACTTACAGTGTACAATTCAATGGTGTGCCACCATCGCCCCAATTTCAGGACTTCTTCATCACCCTAAATAGAAATCTTGCATCCCTTAACCACCACCCTCTCCCCAATCTTCCCAGCCCCTCTAGCCCTAGGCAACCACCACTGTCTCTATAGCTTTGCTTATCCTGGATATCTATCTATATATATAAAAAGCCAGAGACCAGGATGCCAGAACCACCGGTTGCTACGACGCCCACTGCGGACAGCGAACTGGCCTGATCAGGGGGTGGGGCCGACTGCCCCTGACCACCCAATAGGGTGCTGGGCTGGCCGGCCAACCTCCTGCAGCCCCTCCTCCACCCAGCCCCACCCCAGATCATCCCCCCACTCCCATCAGGGGCAGGACAGGCAGGCCAACCACTCATGGCCCCTCCCCCAGGCTGCTGGCCCCTGATTGGCCCCCCAGCCAGCCCACCGCCCACAGCCCGCCCCACCCCCGATCGGCCCCCCCAACACACACCAATCAGGGGTGGGGCCTGCCAGCCAACCTCCCAAGGCCCCTCCCGTGGCTGCTGATCCCCGATTGGCCCCCACCCCATTTGGGGGTGGAGCCAACCGGACAATCGCCCACAGTCCCTCCCCCCAGCTGGCCTTGCCCTGATCAGGCCCCCATTGGGGTGGGCCAGCCAGCCAACCTCCTGCCATCTCCTCCTCCTGATAGGCCCGGCCCCAATCTGCCCCTATAGGGGCCAGGCCAGCCAGACCCCACCTGTGCATGAATTCGTGCACTGGGCTTCTAGTTTCATATAAAAGGAATCATACAATATGTGGTTGTGCCTGGCTTTCACTGAGCATTATTTTCAAGGTTCATCTTTTTATGCCTGATTAATATTGTATGGATATAACACATTTTATTTATCCATTTGTCAGCTAATGGACATTTAGGTTGTTTCCACCCTTTGGTTATTATAAATAACACTGCTATGGACATTTGTGTTTTAAGTTTTTGTATGGACATATTTTCAACTCTCTTGTCTACATACCTAGGAATGCAACTGCTGGGTCACACAGTAACTACTATGTTTGACTGAGGAATAGCCAGACTGTTTTCCAAAGAGGCTGCATCATTTATATTCCCATAAGCAATGTATGAGGGTTTCAATTTCTCCACATCCTCACTAACTCTTGTTAAAGTCCATCTCTTTTTTATTATAGACATCCTAGGAGTTTTGATTTACATTTCCCTGATGACTAATGATGTCAAGTATTTTTTTCATGTGCCTATTGGCCACCTGTGTATTCTTTTTTTTTTTTTTTTTTTTTTTGTGTGTGTGTGAAATGTCTACTTGGATCCTTTACATATCTGTCAATTATCTTTTTATTAGGACCTATTAAATTTAAAAAGTGAGCACCAGCAATCCCTCTTGTAGAAATACAGTATACATAAATAACTACACGCAGGCTAAAGCTATTTATAATAATAAAAACGTAATATGCTAATTAGACCGGATGTCCTTCCGGATGACCTTCCAGACGAAGCCGGAGCTGCGAGGGAAGCCCAGGAAGCCCGGGTCCCAGGTGCCAAAGGGAAATCGGTGCCGGCAGCTGGGGGAAGGAAGGCCTACTCTTGCACAAATTTCATGCATCGGGCCTCTAGTATATACATAAAAATATTCCCTGGAGCACTGTTTACAATTGCAAGATGGTGGAAACCTAAGAACTAATTAAATTAATTACGGCACAGATTATACATGTAATACCATACAGGATAAGATGTCTATGGCAGCCCTGACCGGTTTGGCTCAGTGGATAGAGCGTCGGCCTGTGGACTGAAGGGTCCCAGGTTCGATTCCGGTCAAGGGCATGTACCTTGGTTGTGGGCACATCCCCAGTAGGAGGTGTGCAGGAGGCAGCTGATCGATGTTTCTCTCTCATCGATGTTTCTCTCTCATCGATGTTTCTGACTCTCTATCCCTCTCCCTTCCTCTCTGTAAACAATCAATAAAATATATTTAAAAAAAAAAAAAGATGTCTATGGCATATTAAGTGATCTTTTGTTTTTCTCTTTTAAGTCATCTTTTTAAAAGCTACAGACCAAATATACAGAAGGATCCCACTTTGTCCAAAATAAAAAGCACCTTTTTTGCAGGTGTCTTCAGACATGCCTTTCTAAGCACAAGAACAGTCCTGGGGTGTCCCTTTATCAAACCAACTGGGCATCGTGGAGAGGAGCAGGGAGTGGTTGAAAAGGGAAGAAGATCCTTGCCTTCTTACTCTATATACTTTTCTTTAAGTATTGGGATTTAAAAAAATGTATTTTCCATACTTTTCAAATAATAGTATTTTTTAAATTCTTACAGGAAGAGGTGTCTATTTTTACTCATCACTGTACCCTTAATGCCTAAGTGCCACAACACTTGACATCAATAGATTCTCAATGAAAATGTATTGAATAATAAAGAGCAATTCTTTCTATGTAGCAGAAAATTCTGTAATAGTTTACTAGAGGCCTGGTGCACGAATTCATGAACGGGTGGGGTCCCTCAGCCTAGCCCAGTGGTGGGCAAACTTTTTGACTCGAGGGCCACAATGGGTTCTTAAACTGGACCGGAGGGCCGGAACAAAAGCATGGATGGAGTGTTTGTGTGAACTAATATAAATTCAAAGTAAACATCATTACATAAAAGGGTACGGTCTTTTTTTTTTTAGTTTTATTCATTTCAAACGGGCCGGATCCGGCCCGCGGGCCGTAGTTTGCCCATGGCTGGCCTAGCCAGTGATCGAGGACTATCGGGGGGGCCGGCCAGCCAGGGGAAAGGATCCCAGGAGGTCGGCCTACTGTCCCCCCTCCTCCCGATTGGGAGGTTGGGGAGGTTGGCCAGCCAGCCCCCCAATTGGGGCCGATGCAGGTGCTGGCCGGCTGGAGGAGGGGCTGCAGGAGGTTGACTGTGGGAGCGCACTGACCACCAGGGGGCAGGTCCTGTGTTGAGCATCTGGTGGTTAGTGCGCATCACAGCGACTGGTTGACTGGTCGTTTGGTCGTAAAGGTTGCTTAGGCTTTTATATATATATATATAAATACTTCAGTGATGATTCGTCACTTGCTGTAAGTAAATTATAAGCTAACAAAGAGGGTCACTTACATGATTCAGAAAATACTGCACAATTATTTCATGGCCAGCAGCAGCTGCTTCCATCAAAGGGGTGAATCCATATATTGGCTCCCTGCAAGATAGAGGCCACAGTCCAATGATTAGCAGAGAGTTCTTTCCTTATGCGGACAAAACCATGCTGATGTCCCTGGGTGGTGTTCCTAAGTGGTTAGAGCATCAGCCCTATACCAAAGGGTTAAGGGCACATACCTGGGTTGAAGGTTCAATCCTTGGCCCCCGATCGGGGCACATACAGGAGGCAACCAATCGATGTGTCTCTCTCACATTAATGTTTCTCTCTCTCCCTCTTTCTCCCTCCCCCACCCTCCCTTGCTTCCACTCTCTCTAAAAATCAACGGAAAAAATAACCTGTTGAGGATTAAAAAAACAAACCAAGCTGATGCAAAGTCACCCAGCCCTAACTGCAGCAGTCTCCCTCGAAAAGAATTACCGGACAAAGATGAGAAAAGTTCTTATCAACACACCAGCTTCGTAAACTCTTCTGGTTGCCATCCCACTCTAGTATTTTGTCCTAAAGACATTCTGTCTCCCTACTTCACTCCTTCTAAGCTGTCTGCACCTGCTATCTCTTAAGTCTCCACTCGAATCACCTGCAAAAGGCAGCTATTGCCCTTCATTGCTCACAGAAAGCTAATGTCTCCCGTCCACCTATTCAGACCCTCTTTTCAGTTCAGCTTCCTCCAGGAACCCTCCCAAAAGCCCCAAGACTAATAATCTACTTGCTCTTACTATGCCTGGTACCCAATGCTTATTTTCTGTGCTTGGTTATGGTTAACTCAGCACTGTCTTCAGGGTGCCCCTTAATCCTCACTTCTTTCATGCTGGTCTAGAAGACAGAAACCAAGCTAAATACTGGATTTCAGCCATTCTAAAACACATTTTAACATCTCTGCAGTCAGAATGTGTCTCAAAATCCATAGGTGAGTTGCAGTTTAATTAGTATTTTTTTCTTTCTTGGTGGCATGTAAAACTATGGTGTGTCTTATAATAGATGACATCAACTGAGGGCTGTGGAAGTGCCAGTTGGAGGGCGTAGAGGGCGGGGAGGGTGATAACGGAGAAGGTAAAGGGGGATAAATGGTGATGGAAGGAGACTTGACTTGGGGTGGTGAACACACAATACAACATATAGATGACGTATTGTAGTGCTGTATACCCGGAACCTGTATAATTTTATTAATCAATATCACTCCAATAAATTCAATAAAAATAAAGAAAGAAAAGAAAGGGGATTATCATCATGACAGGCTTCAGACCAGTGGTTCTCAACCTTGGCTGCACATTAGAATCACCTGAGAATCTTTTTTTTAAAATATATTTTATTGATTTATTTTTACAGAGAGGAAGGGAGAGAGATAGAGAGTTAGAAACATTAATGAGAGAGAAACATCGATCAGCCGCCTCCCGCACATCTCCCACTGGGGATGTGCCCGCAACCAAGGCACATGCCCTTGACCGGAATCGAACCCGGGACCCTCCAGTCCGCAGGCCGACACTCTATCCACTGAGCCAAACCGGTTTCGGCAAGAGAATCTTTTTAAAATCCTGATTTCTGGGCCTCATCCTCCGGAAATTCTGTTTCTTTGTTATGGGTTGGGGCCACAACATTAGTAACAACGAAACAGAATTTCCAGAGGATGAGGCCCAGGAATCAGGATTTTAAAAAGATTCCCAGGTGATTCTAATGTGCAGCCAAGGTTGAGAACCACTGCTTTAGACAATATCCCTTCCAGCTTATGAATCTCATGACTGTTTTCAAAGCATCACCTCACCTGAGAAGGCCAAAAGGACAAAGGAGAAAGGAATTAGCATTGCCATCCACTATGTTAGGCCCTTGACATATATAAAATAATATGTAATTCTTCGAACAATTCTATGACATAGGTATTACTATTCTCAGTTTTCACATAAAGAAAATGAGGCTCAGAGAGTTTTGTTTGTTTGTTTATAGCAAAGGTGGAAATTTATTGAAGAACAAGTACAGACTCCCACGTGGGGAAAGGAAAAGAATCTCACAGCACAGACTCCCACATGGGGGAGGGGGGGGCAGTACTGAGGCTCAGAGGGCTTAAAGTGCTGCACCCAATGTTCCCTGACAGATGTGTAAAAAGGCCAGAATTATCCCTAGGATCCTGCACCTGAATGGGACTGTCTCTTCTGCCACTTTGTCTGAACCCCTCTTATGGAGGAGGGGCTGCCATGATTCTGGCCTGTAGTTGCCTGTATAGCTGCCCTCCTTAGAGTAAGATGTGACTACACCCACTCCTATGGCCACTTAAGACCTGGTAATCACCTCACGTTGGCATTTGCTCCACTGTCCAAAAGGAACTTGACCATCTGCTGATGTCCTGCGCTGGTGCAGTGGAAGAGGGCAGTCCAGCCTTGAATGTCCTTCATTTCTAGCTCAGCGCCTTGCTTCAAGAGAACACAGAATGCTTGTTACGGCCTCGTCTCCTCTACGTGGGGGGGGCCCTCCAGGTCATCATGCTGAAAGAATCAAAGTGATTACACGCACACTATGGCCTACAGTGGTTCACTCTCTGCCAGAGCAGCCAGGAGCCCCTCAGGTTTCTGGGCCCGAGTCCCCTCGTAGCTCACCTGGAGGAGAAAGTAGGCGATGCTCTCGTTGCCACAGCTGGAAGCAAGCATCAGTGGAGTCTGCCCTTCCGGGGTCGGCACATTCACACTCACCCCCGCCTCGAGCAGCAGGTGCACGATGGTATCGTGTCCAATGTAGGAGGCATACATCAGCGGGGTCCAGCCACCACCATTCTTCTTATTCAAATCTAACTCTCTCCTAAACAAACGCAAGATATGCTAGCCATGCCCAGCCATCTCACAGGTGGGGTGTACCAGAGCTGGAGTCAAGGCCAGGAATGAAGCTGAACGTCCTATAGTGCACAGGACGGCCCCCACCACAAAGAAGACCTGGTCCAGATTGTCAGTAGGGCCAAGATCGAGAAATCCTGACCTGGAGCCTTGACTACCTTCCACCGACTGACCACAGTCTGGTAGCCAGTGCTGGGGGGAGAGGAGTACAATGGGATGTCCCTCACCACAGTGCACTTGCACTTGACTGGCCAGGTTTTTTTAAGTGATGGCTACGACTTGGGCACTGGAAATCTGGGGCTTCAACAAGATTTGACTTTGATGCCCCAGGAACGGGAAAAGGCACATGTAGGTATGGACATAGATCGTTTCTCGGTGTTATCGATGACAAATGGAAATATAAGCACAAAGTGTGGTGGATATAAAGGGTGTGAAGGCGAGGAAACAGATTATTTTCCAAAAATTACAGTACACATCACATTGTACTACAAACCAGACATAGCCAAGGTCCACCGCTGTTATATGGGGACTTATTATAACATTAGTAAAAAGGGTATGTGGGCAGTTAGTTTGGGTGGCAGTCCTCCAGAGGGGCAGATGAACCTTGCTGCCTCCTCCTCCTCCTCTTTGGCAGATGCTGGAGGGAAGAGGGCACCAGGGATTAAAATGATCCCCTAGGAAAAGAAGGCCATAGGGCATTGCTTTCTATTTTTATTTGAGCATTTCTGCAGTTAGTAGAAACCATAAAATTACTTTGGTTAAAGTAAGCTGGAAATGTTTCTAACTATACCTATGAAAAAAAGTTTAGCTTTTTCTTCCTAGGAATAAAAACTGCCTTCCTTATTAGAGTCCAGCACAAACCATTATTCACAACTGCCTGAGAGAAGCAGGGTTAATCTAGGCCATATGTACTAAATGTCTATGAATCCTGGTTAGCTTACTCATATCTCTATGTGGTAGTTAAGGCCACTGAGATGGGCCTCAAAATCTAAAGAGGAGGAATATTTCCCAAGATGTCTTACCGCTGCACACATTCCTTCACCACTTCATACTGGCCGATGGAAGCAGCTGTATGGAGATCCAAGGGGATGGCCAGCTGCTCCCAGCTGACCTGGGCACCTGGCCCATGCCACATCGACAAGCTGCGGGTCAGGAGTTCTGGCTCACTGGCTTCGTCACTGAGCTCCGACATCGCTGTGGAGGGAGGTCCAGGGGTTATGTCCTTTCTTTCCTGGTGGTTCCAGGGAATGAAAACAAGATGGTCACACTCATACCTGCAGTAGGTGGTTATGTCACAACCTGGGACTGATTTAGACAACTTTCTTCCATTAAATATTGTATGATTTTGTCCAGCCAGCGTGGCTCAGTAGTTAAGCCTCAACCCATAAACTGGGAGGTCACTGGTTCGATTCCCTGTCAGGGCACATGCCCAGGTTGCAAGCCCGATCCCGAGGAGGGGGCGTGCAGGAGGCAGCAGATTGATGTTTCTCTCTCATCCATGCTTCTCTCTCTCTCCCTCTCTCTGAAATCAATAAAAACATCTTTTTTTTTAAAGTGTATGATTTTGTGAGCTTGTCACCAGGCAGAAAAAGAAGAGCACACATGGTGAGTCAAACACTGCAGGGTATATTTTCCTTCATTATCCTCAGGCCCCACATTCTAGAAAGGGTATTTCCCAGGAATTCAAGAAGCCTGAAAACCTCCTGGATGGTAAATAAAGAAATGCTAATTGGGTCAGTGGACCAAATCAGCTCTTGGGTGTGGGGAAAAGAACCCTGCACTTAGAACAAGATTTAGCTCTGCTGCCCTGGCCAGGTGGCTCAGCTGTTTGGAGCAGCATCCCTTATACTAAAAGGTTGTAGGTTTGATTCCAGTCAGGGCACATACCTAGGTTGCGGGTTCGATCCCTGGTGAGGGCACAAACAGGAGGCAACCAACGGATGGTTCTCGCTCACATCGATGTTTTTCTCTCTCTGTGTCTCTCTTCCTCTCCCTAAAACAAACAAACAAGCAAACAAAAACAATAGGAACATATCCTCTGGTGAGGATTAAAAAAAGTTAGCTCTGCTATTTGGCATCTCCCATCCCCAGTTCTTCACTGTCTAATGGATACATAATAACTCAAAGGGCTGCTATTAAAGACACACGGAAGACAGAGTAAGCAAACAGTGGCACATTCATAAGATGGAATGCTACGCAGCATTAAACAGAAAGAACAACAGTTGATACACACAACATACCACACAACCCAGGAACCAATCTCAAACATATTGGGCTAAAAGCCAGACTCAAAGGCTACCTACTGTATGATTCCATTTATATGACTTCCTAGAAGAAATAAAACTAAATAGCTGGAGAACAGACTAGTAGTACCAAGGGTTGGGGGTGTGAGGTGCACAAAGATATAGCAAGAGGGAATCTGAGGGTGATGGACCTGTTCTGCGTCTTAATTGGTGGATGTGTAACTCTATGTATTTATCAAAACTCATAGACCTGGACACCAAGTGAATGAATTTTACTGTATGTAAATCGTTTTAAACAAATAAAATTCGGAAAAATTGAGAGCCCCTATCACAGGAACTAGAATCTGATTGGTGTTCAGCAAATGTCAAGTAACTACGAATCTTCCTCTTCATCTCTTGAAAGTGGGAGAGAGAGGACAATACCAGGAAGACTCTGTGATTACGAGAGCCTTTTATTCTGGGAATCCTACCCAAATCAAGGCCAAGTCATTAGCTTCTTAGTAAAACCCTCAGGTCCAGGAGTGACATTTGTCTCCTATTCTTCTCTGGGTGAAATAGAGAAAACAAAGAAGGGCAAAGTCCAATTCAGAAGGCCTAACGGTACCACCGATGCCACTCGGACCTCACTCTCTACCAAAGAATGCTTCCAAGCCCCAGGAGACAGCCAAGATGGCCAAGACAACAAACAAGCTGCCAGTTTGGGAGACAAAAGATTTGTAGGCCTTTTGCAAGAGTATGTGTACATGTGATGGGGCCCACAGGCAACAAAATGCAGAGCAAAACCCTGCCTCCTGGAACCCCCACCTTGCACAGCTGGCAGGGCTGAGTCCAAGCAGCTCTCACTTTGCAGGTGTGAACCTTCAACCGGAGCAGTCCTGACCCACAGAGCCTGGATTAAAAGTCAAAAAAGCTGAGTGTCAGGGCAGAGCTCCTTTCAAACACCCCTCAAGCCCTCTGTGGGTGTGTCTCTCCTACCCCAAACGCCTCCTCTTGGGTGGGGCCCATGTTCACTCTCCTCTGATTGGATGCTCACATGCCCGACGGAGTGCTGAGGGCTAATCAGAACCAGGCCCCTACTCAAGAAGCTTACGGAGAACTTGGATGCGAAGGGACCATAAAGCTAATATTACTTCCTTTTCACCCTGTCACTGCCAAACGCAGCATGATTATATTTAATACTTTTAGAAAAGTTCTTTTGCATATCGCTTCCAGAACTTATCTCCAGGAAGTAGTGCTAGGGATGCGAACTTTTTTCACTCTACCTTTTGGTTCTGTGCATTTTGTAAAATAGTAAGTACCATTATTTTAAAAATAAGCAAAATGTTAACTTAAAAAAGGTGCCGGTGGTCGACCGTCACGCCCACAGGGAAGAGATCCATATGAGCCCCAGGGCACGCCCTGCGGTGCTAGCTCGCTGGCCTCCGGCGGGGCCGGGGCATCCCAATCTCCTTCTCCGGCTCTGGGGAGGGTCCCTAGGGAAGAGCCGGAGCACCGACAGCACAGACGTCCCTGCCGTCTCCTCCCAGGAACCCTACACGGAACGTGGCTTCAGCTCCCCGCCCCACAGCTGCAGAGGCGAAAGCTCCGAGTCAGAAACTCACTGAGCGAGCGAGTCGCAGGCTGGGACGCCCCGCGGCGGGCGGCGCAGGTGGGCAGCAGGTGCGGCACCAGGCGGGGCCGGGCCGCGGTGGACCCTACCTGCGCGGACCTCAGGTCCTGGGTCGCCTTCGGCTATCTGCCGCCGCCGACTGCACGCCCGCTGGCTGCTGCGCTCCTCCGGCTGGACCCACGCTGCGCCGCGCGCGCCCGGGAGCCCTCCACGCCGGCTGCCTCAGCGGCTGGACCCACGGCCCTGCTCCCGCCCCGGAAGTGGTTGAGGAGGCGCGGAGCACGCCGGGACGTTCGCGGAATCACAGAACAGCTCTGGGCGCAGTGGAATTCGGCGGTTCCACACCCGGACCTTCCCGTCAGCTCGTCCGCTCTCTGTAGGACGCCCGCTGCAACCAATGAGCTGGGAGAGTGCGCCTGCCCCGCCCCTCTCTGACCATAGCAACCAATCCTATTGCAAAAGGGGCAAGACGCGCCAAGCCCCGAAAGAGGCAGGGGGTTGGGGAGCGGGGGCGAGAGGGGCGGTTGGCAGTCGGTAAAGTAAGACTCCCCTGAGGGGGTAGCCCGAAGGCGGTGAAAGGTTCAGTAGTTGCGCCGCGGCCCAAGGGGGCGAAAGCGACCGGAAGAACGCGCAGGAGGCTGTTTATAGCCCTGTCAGGACGGCGTTGGGGGGGCAGCCGAGGCGGAGGCCTGAGGTGAGGGGCCTCGGGCCTGCCGCAGCTGCAGAGATAAATGTCGGGAGCTGGACGGGACGCGGAGGAGACAGGGGTTGGGAGTGTGTGGCAGGACAGACGCTGGGTTTTCGGGTTTCCGAGCTTTAGCATTTAAAAGCCTGACCGGGGAGGCCGTTGGCGTCTAGTTGTCATGACAACCACCCGCCAGTGGTAGGGATGGCAGGGGTGGGACTTTGGGCGGGGCTAACGGGCTGCAGCCAAGAAACGGACGTGGATTCAGAGTCAGGATTCCGAGGAAACTTGGGATGCCAGTTTGTGTAGCATTTGGTTTAACCCTCATCTGCTGGATGAGCCAAGCTCCTCAGCTTGGCGTTCAGGACCCTCCACGATCTGGTCCGTTTTTACCACAAAGTCCAGCAGTTGACACCTTCCCACCCCAAACTTTTTGGGCAATTTTCACTCCTCTGAGACACGACATGTTCTCCTGCAGCCCAATGCCTTCCCCTTTCCCTTCATTGCCTTGTCCACCTAAAGAACTTACCAGTCTCTGGTAGTCCCCTTCACCTTCGTGGTTCTGTTGGCCTCTGATCTGCCCTGAAGCCAGAGAACATCCCATGGTGTATGTACTACATGCGTCCACACTCCGCAGTTTCCATTTGTGGGTGCACCAAACTCCTGTCCCCACTCCTATAAGCACAGAAAAAGCAAGAAGCCCACTGCTGCTACACTGATGGGAGCCTTGATGCAGAGTGGCAGCCAGCTAGGACTGGAGCAGGAGTGTTCTCTTCCCATTTTATAGGCACTGCTGCCTCAGGCTGCAAGGATTTTCCAGGCACTGGCTCTGAAGTACATCACTCTACATTCCTAAAGCCCCTTTGACCCATGAGGGGCTGGACCTTTTCCTTTTAGACTGGGATACAAAAGGAGGGGCTGCTTCAGTGCCTTGGTATGAGGGTTAAATTGAGTGATGACTCAAAAAAAATATATATCCTAGGGACTCCAAAATGTCTCTAGTCTATTCCTTTGTAAGGGAGCAATAAAAGTTAGTGGGGCCTAAAATCCCCTCTAATTTTGATGCAAATTCTCTTTCCCATTTACAAACAATATAACTTATCTGAACCTATGAAATACAGATAATAGTATCTATGTTATATGCGATATATATAGTTTACATTATACATCATGTATATACATGTATCATTGTATATATCATATACTTATGTACATAATTATATATCAATATCTATATATTATCATATATCACTATATACTTCATATACATATATCTTCGGTCTCCATACTGCACTGCGCGCACGCACACACACACAGTGCAGGGCACGGTGACTCGCACTCAGTAACAGGAACCTGCAGAACCAGAAGGGAAATGGGGTAGGAGGTCTGTGAGTCAGTTTTCATCCCCCACAAAGTGGTAGATTCTTTGAAAAGGCACCTCCTGTCCCCCCCCCCCTCCCGCCCACCGCCCTCCAGCTCTTGACCCCTGGTCCCTGGATCCTGTCACCTCACCCGGCATCCTCTATAGGGTTCCTTGGATGATGACACACTGAGAAACTTCCTCTGAGCCCAGGCCCCCATGGCATCCCAAGACAAAGATGTGGGGCCCTCACTGCCCTCTCCGTGGGCCTCCCAAATGGGGCCCTGGGAGGCCATTCTTGAGGCTGTCAGGGAGCACCTTCCGTCTCTGGACTCGGATTCCTCTTTGGTAAGTAAGTACCTTCTTCCTATGTCATCTTAGGCCCTGATTGCTCTTCCTTTCCCATGACAAATATGACGCTGATGCATGGAAGGCTATGGAGCTTATTAGCTCTGCATCCATCATCACTGTTTTTTTTCTCCGAATATATTTATTAGTGCTCAGCATCCTCCTGGGTCTTACTAGTGACCCCAAAGGACAACTGGAGAATTCCTCTGAGGGCTTATCACAATGCACTGAAATGGTAGCCACCCTCAGTGGTGGTTCCAGCCAAGTTCTGGCTCAACAGAGAGTTGAGAAAGCACCTCAGCAAAGGAGGATAGCGGGAACATCAGCATCAAGCAGACCTGGGTCCCCATTTCCACTCAGTAGCTAACTTACCATGTAACCTGTGGGCAGTTATCACTGGTACAAATTTTGGATTCTGTATGTAAAGTGCCTGGCCCAGAATGGGTGCTCAACTAATAGAGTTAACGAAGTCACCCATATCCTAGGGTATTTTTTAAATCCTCACCCAAGGGCATATTTACTGATTTTGAGAGAGAAAGGAAGGGGGAGAGAGAAACATCGATATGAGAGAAAAACATTGATAGGAGACGGAAACATCAATTGGCTGCCTCCCGGATGCGCCCAGACCAGGGATTGAACCTGCAACCTTTTGGTGCACAGTACGATGCTTCACCAACTGAGCCCCCAGCCAGGGCTTCATCCTAGTGTTTTTCTCATCCTGGCAAACACCCTCATTTGCTTTATGGAAGATGGTGATAAACAGAGAGGTACATCATGTAAGAGTTAAGGACCAAGGCTCCACATTGTAAGTTGTTGTAAGGATTAAATAATTAAATTTTGAGCACAGTGCTTGGGACATGGTGAATGTATAATACATAGTAATTTTCTTTTTAAAAAATACATTTTTATTGATTTCAGAGAGAGGATGGGAGAGGGAGAGAGAGATAGAAACATCAATGATGAGAGAGAATCATCGATCGGTTGCCTCCTGCATGCTTCCCACTGGGGATTGAGCCCACTACTGGGCATGTGCTCTGACCAGGAATTAAATTGTGACCTCCTGGTTCATGGGTCGACACTCAACCACTGAGCCACGCTGTACAGGCCATAGTACTTTTCTTATTGATCACATGCATTCATTCAACAAACATTTTTTTAAATATATTTCTTTATTGATTTCAGAGAGGAAGGGAGAAGGAGAGAGATAGAAACATCAATGATGAGAGAGAATCATTGATTGGCTGCCTCCTGCACACCCCAGACTGGGGATGGAGCCCACAACCCAGGCATGTGCCCTTGGCCAGAATCGAACCTGGGACCCCTCAGTCTGCAGGCCAATGCTCTATCCACTAAGCCAAGCCAGCCAGGGCCATTCAACAAACATTTAAAGAGCCTACTCAGCCTCTTCAAGGACCAGGAGGCCTTTGTAACGTTATACACTGTGGTGGGCCTTGCTTCACCATGATGGTCACTGTGCTTCTAGTTTCTACCTACTAAGAGAATGTTGGGTGGCAAAAATGACTCTGAATTTAAGTTTAAGTGAGTTGTACCATCTTCTCCATGTAGTGGAAATTAGGCATGTGCACACATGTAAATGTGGCAGCGACCCCACAAACAGAGCAAAGTGGGCGATGCACCAGGTAGGAGCTCAGCAGTGGATGCCAAATACACAGGTTGGAGCTTGGCATGTAGAGAAAGGTTTTAGAAATAACAAGCCAGATTTGGATCTTACCTGTGGCACCTGCAAAGATGAAAATGACACAGCTTCCAGCCGAGATCTTCCAGTGCACAGCGAGGCTAATAGGGAGTAGATAATGCAACCCCAGTGCCTTTTCACATCTTCAATCTCATTTGCTCTCTTCAGAATACTCCTGTGAGGTGGGCAGGTGACTATAAGTGCCTTCCCCACCCTACCTTAGAGGCGACAAATGAAGGCTCCATGTCATTAAAGGATGGTTCAAGTCATGGGGAAGGGGAAAAGCTGGACTCTGCTCTTTTAGCCACCACTTTGGTACCCAATTCATTCGCACCAGGCATTAACTAAGCACCTGCCGTGCAATGTCAAGGATGGCAGGTATGTGCAGAACTGAGAACTCAGGATCTCACTTCCACGAGGTGGTGCTGGTGAGCTTACTTTTCTAAATCAGCAACAGAAACCAGCACTGGGCAAGGCCCTTTGGGAGAGAACTGATGCCCCTACTGTCCGGGGAGGCAGGGCAGAATGGGGTAAATGGGGCAAGGCCCTCCTGGCTCTACCGCCTGCCAGGTAATCCCTGAGCTCTCTTGTCCACAGTCAGACTGCGGAGAAGAGGAGCTGTTCATCTACCAGCGAAATCAAACCACCCTGATTCCAGACTTGTCAGAGGAGCTGGCTGAAGACCCTGATGGGGCCTGGGTCGCTCCAGCCAACAGGTCTCCTCCTGAGGTCAGTGGAATGCAGGCTCCAGGGAACCTGCTGGCAGAACAGGGTGTGGGAGTGAGTGTCCCTGGCTCTCAGCGGATTCTAACAGCGGTGTGGGTCAAAGAGGTCAGAACCCCTGGTCCAGCATCTCTGCACACCCAAGCCTTTCTCCAGGTACAACCCAAGGAGTTCAGACACCAAACATCTACCAGCCTTGTACATAGTACATTCCAGGAGCCCAGCACACTTAAGACCAGGGTTTTTCTTCATTTCTGTGATTACCTCAGTAATTCTTCTGGATGATTTTTTTAAAAATTCAAGATGGAAAAGTCTGTACCAATTTATGGGGGTCAAGTCCTGGGCTTGCTCTAGAATCAAAGGGCCTGGGTTTTATCTTATCCACCCCTTAATAGCTATGTAGTCTATTTATAGTGGCCAAAGGTGGGAGCAACCCATGTGTCCGTCAACAAACAAAAGGATAAAATGTGGTCTAGCCATGCAGTGGAATATTACTCAG